ACCTAAGGTTGGGAGTTCGAGACCAGCCTGGCCAACATAGTGAAACCCCATCTCTACTAAAAATACAAAAATTAGCTGGGTGTGGTGGCGCATGCCTATAGTCCCAGCTACTCGGGAGGCTGAGGCAGGAGAATTGCTTGAACCTGGGAGGTGGAGGTTGCAGTGAGCTGAGACTATGCCACTGCACTCCAGCCTGGGAGACAGAGCGAGACTGTCTCAAAAAAAAAAAAAAAAAAAAGAAAGAAAGAAAGAAAAAAAGAAAAGAAAAGAAAAAGAAAAGTGAAAGACCGAAGATACCTAGTGTTGGCAAGGATATGGAAAAACCAGAATTCTCATGCGCTGCTGATTAGGGAATAAATTAGCACAGCCACTTTGCAAACTGTTTGGCAGCATTTACTAAAGTTGAATCTATTCACACCCTATGACATAGTAATTCTATTCCCAGGTTTTTACCCAATAGAAGCACATAATTATGTGTACCACAAGACATATACATGGTTGTATATAGCAATACTATTCCTAGTGGCTGAACATGTCCACGAACATCTGAATAAATTGTGGTATAATCATATAATGAAATTTCCTATGAGGATAAACAAGTTATTGTGACGTGCAGCCACGTGGATGAATTTTACAGATACGCTATTGCGTGAAAGAAGACCGACATTTAAAAGTGTATGCTGCAGAATTCTATTTATACAAAGTTCAAGAAAAGGGAAAATGTATCGGCAGTAAAAGAGGTCAGGATACTGTTTACTTTTGGTGGAAGAGGTAGGGACTGAGATAAGGGCTTTAGAGACTGGCCATATCCCCCGTTCTAGTCTGGGTACTGGTTACCCAGGTGTGTTCATTTTGTGGAAATTCACTGAGCTCTTCATTTAAGGTTCACGCACTTTTCTGCATTTTATGCCTTGATTTTAAAATGTTCTTTTAAAAAGTTGAAAATGTGCCTGCTTCTGCCCTTTCTCCGATTACAAGTTTTTACAGCTTTCCTGAACTTCTCAGACTACCAAGTGGAATGAAATGATGACTTTTCCTTCATGGATGAAGGCAACAGTTTTGCTTATATTTTTTATTTTTCCTACAAGGAGATGTTAAATTTAATTCTGGACAGCCTATTTGTTTTTCTAAACTAGCTACTGCCAGGAAAACAGGCTGCAGAATATAGAGGGGTGTGTGTGTGTGTGTGTGTGTGTGTGTGTGTATGCTTCAGGTGTGTGTAATTGTGATGTGTTTATGTGCATATAGGTGTGCATTTGCATGTGTTTGCAAGACACACACATGACCGTGCATGTGTGTTTATATTTCCTTCTTACATTGATATTCTTGGATAGCAACAAAAATAAACGAAGTCATTTCTAAACATCTGGCTAGGCAAAGAAACGGCCCCTTCAATATTATGTCAATGTCTGAGGCACATAGCACATGTTCAAAAAATATTTGTTGAATGAATGAAAGAATGAAAGAAAATTAATGAACAAAAGAAAATGGGAGAGTAGAAATGGCTTGGACGCATGTCTTTAATTTTGGGTATAGTTGTTGCTGGAAGAGTCAATTATTCAACTACGTTCCCTCCTAGCCTGTCTTCCGGACACTGCTGAGACAGATGAGGAAAGGGCGTCTGACTCATTTTACTCAGTTAATGGCTCTCGACCCTCCTTTCCGGATTCTGGGCCAGCCAAGGCCATGCCCGCAGTTGCCGCTCAGCTTCTTTCCTGGTAGGGTCAAGGGCCGGGTGAGCTAATATTTGTTCAGCTTGTCCCACTACTGACACGTTAGGGAAGTGCAGATCCATGTTGTGAGTTCCCATAATGTCACGGCCTCCACATGTCCTCCTCCCCAGGAAGTAGACTGCTCTGTCATTTAAATGATTTTATCAATATTTGCAATTTTTAAAATTGGGCCAAATAGCTCCCTCTCTTCTCATTTCCGAGTCTGTTTACTGTCTTCCCCAGGGTCTGCTCCTCTGCCTGTTTACTGTCTCCCCTGGGGTCTGCTCCTCTGTCTCACTTTGAAATGCTCCTGGCACATCCCTCTCAGCAACCACTGGAGCTTCCTTGATTAGCTGCTCCCTTTGCCCCTTCAAAGTTTGTAGCTCAACTCCCCTGGTGACGCAATGCTGGCCCAGGCTATCCGTGACTCCCTGCCGTCTCCCTCCACCTCCGCAGGGAGCAGAGGTGCCTCAGGGCAGCCCGAGCCCTCCAGTCACCAGCCCCGCTAGGCCAGCAGCTACAAGGCCCCCCGCACTGTCGCTGGTCAGCCCTGGGGATCGTCGGCAGGGGATGGCAAACATGGATCCAGGGCGCCACCAAGCCTGGCTCCTGCATCCAGGATAGACATCGTTAATCTACTGCGATATTCTTCTTCTCAGAGCCTAGAGAAAAGCTGAGAATCCTTCTTGGGCTAGTGCAGTCAACGGGCACCACCCATCAATAGAAACGGAAATGTCTCCTCTCTCTATGGTATCAAGTTGCCACACACGTGGCGTTCTCTGAATTTTCCATCAGCATTTAAGACCCACTTCTCTGACAAGAACGGAGCTACAAAAAAATGGACCCAGCACGGTGGCTCACGCCTGCAGTCCCAATGCTTTGGGAGGCTGAGGTGGGAGGATCACTTGAGGCCAGGAGTTCAAGACCAGCCTGGCCAACACGGTGAAACTCCGCCCCTACTAAAAATACAAAAATTAGCTGGGTGTGGTGGCACATGCCTGTAGTCCCAGCTACTTGGGAGGCTGAGGCACTAGACTTGCTTGAACCCGGGAGGCAGAGGTTGCAGCGAGCTGAGATTATGCCATTGTACTCCAGCCTGGGTGACAGGGTAAGACCCTGCCTCCAAAAAGAAAAAAAAAAAAAAACAAATGTACCCAGCACAGTGGCTCATGCCTGTAATCCCAGTGCTTTGGGAGGCCAAGGTGGGAGGACCACTTGAGACCAGGACTTTGAGACCAGCCTGCACAACAGAGTGACCCTGTTTCTACAAATAATAATTTTAAAAATTAGTCAATTATGGTGACATGCTCTTGTAGTCCCAGCTACTCAGGAGGCTGAGGCGAGAGGATGGCTTGAACCTAGGAGATTGAGGCTGCAGTGAGCTATGATCACGTCACCGCACTCCAACCTGGATGACAGAGCAAGACTCTGTCTCAAAAAAAAAAAAAGAAAAAATGTCTGATGGAGACTCATGGTCCAGCAAGGTGCCAGGCAAGTTGGGGCAAGAGAAAGGATCATAAGCCCTTTGTTGAAGCTGCTTATGGTGTCCCTGGGAGGGGCAGGACATATACATGAACTGAGGGGTTCATCAGGGGCTGGGAAGAGCACCTCTGGTGGGAGGCCCCCGTCACAGATAGACAGAGATGAGGCAGAGGAGGCAGGGACTGGGGGAAGCAGGAGCAGTCAGAGCAGACTCCCAGGTGAAGGAGCCCAGGGCTCAGGAGATACATTTGGGAGATGGAGGCTGATGACAAGGACACAACTGCAAGGTGCTACCACTCTGGGGCAGGAGATGAGCTGGGCAGGAGGAGAACCATCTGCAGTGCTAAAAGTGGGCCACAGGGTCCTCCGTGCTGACAGAGTGGGCCTGGACAGTGTGCAGGGGACAGCATCCAAGCCCCACGCTTTCCCATCTTTTCTCCCAGTCTGACGCAAAGCTTACTGGAGAGAGGGGAGGGCCGAGCAGGGAAGGAGGGAGGTTGGGGAAGGGACACAGCAGGCTCTGGCTGTCTGGAGCCACCCCTCCCCCCACTCTACATTGAGAGGACTCGGCCCCTGTTGAAAGATTTGTCATCAGTGCTTAGGTCGGGGCAATGACATGATTTGGAAAGAAGTAAATGGTTTCCAACAAAGAAAAGTGTACAGGATCAGGGGGCTTGGGGAAATGCATGGTGATGTAAGCTCTGGTACAAATCAACGTCGATTCGAAAGGAAAATGGAAAAGCCGTGGTGGTGAGAAACACCCGTGTGCCTGCCACTCCGGGGAAGAGCTGTGGCGTCTCTGGCTCAGGAGTGCAAGCGAAGGCCTCGGAAACAGCAACTTTGGCAGGGGGCCCACACCTTGATTCCCTTCTCCTCACTTGCTTCTCCCACATCAAAAACAGAGCTCTAATGAATCACCACATTCTAGCTCTTTTCCTATCTCCCAGTGCTAAGACGTTTCCAGTAGGAGAGCTGACCTGGAGCCAAACAGCAGTTCCTCCTGGTGGTGCATGACTCATTGGAAAAAGTGTCTCATAGGCTATTAAAAGAGTGGGGGAGGGCGGGTAAAACATTTGGCTTCAAAGCAAATTATATGGAAACTAAACAAAGTACATGTAATTCCGACACTGAATACTGCTTTCCTCAAATAACAAGACAGAGAAAAAAATGGGCTCTTTAGTTAACGCAATGCACAGATGTTCCAGAAATGAATTAAATGCTTCAAAACAATGCAAATGAAACTCGGCTTAAACAGGTCAATATGTGAATGCGTGTTTATCTGCTAAACTCACACATGCAAAAGAAATGAAGCATCTTTACTTCCTTAAACTCACCTCGTCACGCTTGGAAGCCCTCATTCCTGAGGATGTGGGGACCAGAAACGTAAACCTAACAAGGTAATGCCACCAGTTACTTCCACAGAAAAAAAAAAATGAGTTTTATTCAACCTAAGAAAGCTGATTTTTTTTCAAACAAAGTTTTAAAGGTCAGGTTAGTGTGGTCATTTTCCTGAACCGAGGAGTACCTTTTGCATCATGCCTATTACTGGACACAACAAGTTCCCAGAAGCATCTGATTATCTCACAGTACAACACCTACATGTTGTTTACTTTTCCAGGTAATTTGGTGGTTTGAAAGCATCCTATAATCTTAGACCCTATTTAAAAAAAAAAAAAAAAAAAAACTGCCCTCTGAATGATGCTATAAAAAATTTTATCACTGATGGTTTTCCCCCGTGATATTATGAGCAGTGTTTGTACATTTCAGTGTTTGTGTATTTCACCAATCAACACTAAGTTATATTACCTCTTAAAAAATGTCATCACGGTTTCATGAGTTGGAATTGCCTGAATCTTGTAGTTTAGTTGCAAGAAGACCCACAAAAGCATTGTTTTCAGAAGACGGAATTCACTAAAGGTAAACAACCTGGCCAAAATAAAAAGATGGAGAAGAAATTTTAGAAATAGCACAAAATCATGCTGCTTGTAAGAAACTGGTTAGAATGAGTTTGGGAATGAGGTGACACCACCTTTGAGTCAGAAGGTAGCCTCAGACACCGAGCAGGTAAACAGCTTACTCAAGGCCACTCAACTGGGAAATGGCGGAGCTACGATTTGACTCTCAGCAGCCTGACACGGGGGCCTGTGTTTTCACCCACCCTCTGTGACCCTGCAATATCATGATCATTATTTAATGAGCTCTTACTATGTGCCAGGTGTTCCCAAGATGTTCTCTGTAGATTCTTTCATTTAATCCTACACAACCATCCTGCAAAGTTAGGATATAGTCCTTATTTTTATAGATGTAGAAATTGAGATTAACCCTATGTTTATTTAAAATTTCAGTATTTTGTTCATCATGGCATTTTTTGCATCAATTTTTTTTTATAATTTATTTTCATTTATTTTTGTAAATAGTGGCCTTTACCACTATTTTTCTTTTTCTTTTTCTTTTTTAATTATACTTTAAGTTCTAGGGTACATGTGCACAATGTGCTGGTTTGTTACACATGTATACATGTGCCATGTTGGTGTGCTGCACCCATTAACTCGTCATTTACATTAGGTATATCTCCTAATGCCATCCCTCCCCCTCCCCCTCTCCCCACAATAGGACCCGGTGTGTGATGTTCTCCTTCCTGTGCCCAAGTGATCTCATTGTTCAATTCCCACCTATGAGTGAGAACATGTGGTATTTGGTTTTCTGTTCTTGGATTGTTTGCTGAGAATGATAGTTTCCAGTTGCATCCATGTCCCTACAAAGGACACGAACTCATCCTTTTTTATGGCTGCATAGTATTCCATGGTGTATATGTGCCACATTTTCTTAATCCAGTCTGTCACTTTTAATTCTAATATATTACAGTAAAATATGCTGCATCTTCATGACTAAGTTTTTTTGGTGCTCCCTTAAATTTTGCACCAAGGTGTCTCACTCACTTCACCTGAGTTCTGGCCATGATTGAGGGCTGAAACCTGAATAACTTATCCAAGGTCACACAATTCTGGGCTCAGACCTGGGTACAGGGCAGGTTAGAATCTCAGTTTCTCACCAAACTGGCTGTGGAACCTCCTGTGAGTTGCTTAATTGCCCTGCAGCTGCAATGTCCTCATCGGTGAAAGTGTGATCACGGCAGCTTCTCAGAGGAGAGTGGTGCGGAGCGGATGAGGTGAGTGTACGAGTTTCCTATCACTCCTATGACAAACTGTAACAAACCAAGTGGTTCAAAACAAAACGAATTTATTTTCTCATCATTCTGGAGGTCAGAAGTACCAGACAAGGTAAGATCAAGTTGTCAGCAGGGCTGTGTTTCTTCTAGAGGCTCAAGGGAGAATCGTTTCCTTGCCTTTTCCAGCACCTAGAAGCCACCCACGTTCCTTTGCTTATGGCCCCTTTCTCAGTCTTCAAGTCAGCAGTTCAGCATCTTCAAATCTCTCTATGGTTCTGACTCTTTGGCTTCCCTCTTCACATTTACATGGTCCTTGTGATCACCATGGGCCCACCCAGGTCATCCAGAATAAGCTCCTCATTGTAAAGCCAGCTGACACTATTAACAATAGCAAAGACATGGAATCAACCTACGTGCCCATCAGTGGTGGACTGGATAAAGAAACTGGTACATATACACCATAAAATACTATACAGCCGTAAAAAAGAACAAAGGCATGTCCTTTGCAGCAACACGGGTAGAGCTGGAGGCCATTATCCTAAGCAAATTGACACAGGAATAGAAAACTAAATGCTGCATGTTCTCACTTATCAGTGGGAGCTTAAACATTGAGTATACATGGACACCATTAAGGGAACAATAGACACAGGGCCTACTTGACGGTGGGGGGTAGGAAGAGGGTGAGGATTGAAAAACTATGTATAGGGTTGTATAGTTTTGTTCTTGAATTGCTACAGAGAAATATCTGGGACTGGGTAATTGTAAAGAAAAGAGGTTTACTTGTCTCACAGTTCCATGGGCTGTACAGGAAGCATGATGCTGGCATCTGCTTGGCTTCTGGAGAGGCCTCAGGAAACTTACATTCTTGGCAGAAGATAAAGGAGGAGGAGGATTTCACACAGCCAGAGCAAGAGCAGGAGGTGCCACACACTTTTAAATGACCAGATCTCAAGAGAACTCACTCACTATCAGGAGAACAGCACCAAGAGGATGGTGCTAAGCCGTTAGTGAGAACTCCACCCCCAGGATCCAATCACCTCTCACCAGGCCCCATCTCCAACACTGGGGATTACAATTCAACATGAGATTTGGTGGGGACACACATCCAAACTATATCAAGGATATTATACTGATCACCTGGGTGACAAAATTATCTGTACACCAAATCCCTGTGATACGCAATTTACTCATGTAACAACCTGCACATGTACCCCTGAACCTAGAATAAAAGTTGGAAAGAAAGAAAAGAATTAGCTGATTAGTGACCTTAGTTCCATCTGCAGTCTTAGTTTCCTTTGCCATGCAACCTAACATATTCACAGGTTCCAGCGAGTGGGATGTGGACATCTGTAGGGCCATCATTCTACTGACTGCACACACATACATAAGTACAGTGCCTGGTGCATCATGGCATGCTCAGCGGATGGAAGCTCTTATGGATACGTGGCAGAGTCAGGTCCTAGCTGCAGAGCCCGTGCAGTACCTGCTGCAGCATGAGGCCTCTCTTCCATAAACAAGCATTGCCAAAGAATAGCTGCTACCCCGTAATGACAGCTCTGTAAGTACGGCTGTTTCCCAGCCCCCTTCTCTAGCAGCCTCTGATGGTTATCTATGGAGCCATTTCAACATTTCTTAAACCCGTTGACATTTTCAGTCTCTGACCATGGACATAGCACCCTGGCCTTAAAATACATCACCACTTCCACACTCAACCACTGTATGTGGTTATGGTGGGTGGCACAAAAGACAAATCGTGACTCTAAAGGACAATGAAAATGTCACCCACCTCTCATGCTATTTCTGAACAGAGTAAAACTGTCTCTTTCCTCTCCTTTGGTTTTCAGGCCACCTACAAATGCATGGACTTTGACTCTGGCCAGACAGGACCAAGTTTGTCACCATCTGGGCAAATCATCGTGAGGCCAGAAAGGGAGACTCTCTTCAGAGCCATTTGGTGTGATGTCCCCATGAAGAACTTTGTCAGCTGGGCTGGCAAAGTGGTGTGACTTCCAGTGTAGACTCCACACCTGAGGTCCTCAAGCCCAGAAGGTCCTTTGAGGTCTTACTAAAGAGGGGCTAGCAGCAACACTGGGGAGTCCTTGGGAGCTCCCTGAATCAGAATCCTGGTTCTATTATTTATGAAGGATAATTATTAAAGTCAATTCCTCTGTCTTTAGGTCAATATCAGACCTGAAAGTATTTGTTTGTGCAACAGATAACCACACCAGAGACATTCATACACCTTTTCATTTACCTAAGAGCTCCGATGGCCTCAATCAAGACAGAACCCACAGGGACTTGAACCTCCCTCTACGGGCTGTACCATGTGTGTTTAATGCAGCCATTGGAATGTAAATGGTATTTGTTCTTTAGGGGAAAAAATGCTTTTCATAAGACACTGTCCTCTATTTTTTACTGAGAAAATTATATATCAACAATAAAAGCCCTCTTTTGCATGTAGACCATACAGAAAATCATGACCATGTGAGTAAGATATGAACAAGGATGCCCACTGCTACATCGCTTGTCACAGCAAACAAACAAACAAAACAAAACAAAAGGCCATTAGGAAGGGAGTGAAAAGAGATCATTGTGCATTCATTCAATAGAACCCTGTACAATTAAAATTTTAAATGCTAATTAGATATGTAAATATCAACATGGAGAGAACACAGCACACAATGTCCGCGAATAAGTTGCAGAATGTTACAATCATCATGAGAACATGTATTTCAAGTTTAAATCTTTTAAAGCAATATTATTTATGTGGTAAGAGTAAAATCACATAGATTAAATCTGCACGAGTTCCTAACAGTGGTTTGTCTTTAGGAGGGAAGGAGGCAGAAAGTGAGGAAAGGAATGGGACTGGGAGGGGAACATCGGTGACTTCTGCTTCATTGGAAATGTTTCATTTTTCAATTTCAGACAAAATATTAATATTCGTTCATTTGGGGAGATGAGTACAACTGTGTTTTGTATTATCATTCTACCTTTATACTTTTTTAACAGTAAAAAGAACATCAATATTCTTATTGTTCTTGACCATCAATAAGGAAAAAGAAGGCCTCATGCAGAGCACATCAGTGGGCTGGTAATGACCACAGGCTTTAGGCCACTCAGACGTGGGTTCAAATCCCAACTCTCATGTTGCATGAGGAGACCTTCAGCTGACCCCGTCATTTCCTATCATCTCTATTCCACAGGCAGGAAACGCCAATAACAGTATCCACCTCATTAGGCTGCTGTAGGAATCAGTCTGGATAGTCCACTTAGAGTATTTTGCATACAACTAGTGCTTAATAATTGATGGGTATTGTATTAACTAAAGAAACGTTGGATTCAAGAACTATCATATTTGAGATGGGTGCCCGGGGTGTCCCAGACACCCTTGGGAAACTTGTCCCATGCTAGAGGGCAAGCCGTGGGACAGATGCAATAAGGAGGACATGCGTAGCTCTTATTAGGGAACTCCTGAGACCTCGAGACTTCTCGGGTTATAGGCGGGAAGTCAGGGAGAACTGGAAACACAGGGATGCAGTGCCCCTGGTTGCAAGGTAGTCTTTTGTTGAGATGGGAGCTAGACAGTGCTCTGAGATCTCCATCCTCCTAAGTCCGTGAGGAGCTTGGCTTCCAGAAAAACAGAACTTAGAATGAAAGTTTCTTAGTATTAGAGTTAATAGAAACAGGGTAACCCAGTAGTGACCTCTAAAAAATTAACTGAAAACCAAATGCCAGGGAAAGAAATTAAAACCAGAGGCTCAGGAGGTCAGGAAAACTGTTGCATATTTTACCCCAGGTGGTTTACAAAATGGAAAGCAAAACCTGAAAGAAGTTGAGCTCGAGGGACTTCAGATGGAGACAGCTGAATGGCCCAGAAGCTGCAGCATCTGCTAAGAAATGGATGTTGTTCCAAACACCTGTGACCACAAAGAGGGGACTGGACTCACAGCTGGAGGACCAGATAAGTCAGGCCAAGGGCCACTCCACCCCTGACCCTGGAGTCTGCATTTCCACACATCCCACTCTGGGGCCACGTGGCTCCTTGGGACCACTCGGTTGTCGCTATGTCTTTTTAGTTGCTGGTAGCTTTGGCCTCCATGACCACTGATGAGGTGTGCAGCACACAGGGCAAGGCGTGGACTTTGGAGCCAGTGGAGGTCCTGCCCTGCCCATCATTAGCCCTCTTATATCAGGGATGATAACTGTGCCCACCACATGGGATGGTGGGGATAGAAAGGGACAGTGCACGTAGCACCCAGCACACACCAAAATGTTTGCTTGAGAAAGGTGCATTCTGAAACAGCTGTGGGCCACGGTGCCAAATCCACTGGCCAGCAGTCTGAAACTCACAAGCACCCTAATATGAGAAGCCCTAGCTGGTGAAACTTCTAACAAGCCCCCTCTTCCTGAACCCTGTCTCCCACCTCTGTCAAGCTTTAACGCAGGCAGCCACTGGAGATCAACCTCAGAAGATGTGAGCAGAGGCTGGGGAGTGTTCAGCCTGGGCACGTGGCTGATGACAAGCCCGAAGCCACACAGGGCTCTTCTCCCCTTCAGTGATAGCCCTGGACTGTCTGTGCAGACAGCTCCTGGGGAGGGGCCGGAGAAGCAGGACCCATTTTCCACATCAGTCATGTCTGCCAAGCTGGTGAGTCTAGACACTTGACACGTAATGCTCTTGACCTCTTTTCCTGCCCCGCGTACGTTTGTCAGGCTTATCCCACCACTAACCTTCTGGTTGTGGTCAGACACTTTTTTCTCCTTTCTTGGTTAATGCTGCCAGGGTGTGACGGCTCAGCCTTTCCAAGGGAGGGACAATGTTATGAAAAGTCTAAGGGATGCCATGTTTATCTTTTCTTCAACAATTGCCCAACCTTTGCTCGCTGGGCAGTGGGGGAGCACCTAAGCAGGGAAAAGCCGAGAACACCATGGAATGACGTTAGGAGTGAGCCAGTGCCCTGGGCTGGCATGAGACTGGGACTCCTGGAGGCTTCCTAGAGAATATGGTCTCCTTCCCTCTGTCCCAGATCTGGTCTACCTGCCTCGCATCTCCATAAATGTGAGGGCATTGCACACGACGTAGCCAATTCAGATCAACAGTAGAATAAATCTTTCCAAATCTAATTTCTGAAATCAGAACACTTTCCACACATAAACATGAGTAAACACTCATTTTCTAATATTCTACTAGGATTTTAGGCAGAATTGAGTTTTCACTTTTGAAATTTACTCAAAGGTAATAAAATTTTGGTAACTTGGAAATGGGTACCAAGATCCTTTTAAATAGAGTCCTAAAGAGATATGACAACTAATGGTCCTAAACAGCATTGAAGAAAGAAAAAATGCTATAAAAGGCAATATTGGGCAAATGACATTAAAGTATCACATCGATATAAATTTCTTGAAGTTGATAACTGCACTATAGTTATATTTTTCAAAAATTATTTTTCTTAGGAAATAAACACTGAAGCATGTGGAGTAAAGGAACTTAACAAATGCAACTTACCCCCAAATATTAATAGTTCAGAAAAAACAAGTGTATATGTAGATACACATAGAGATGCAGATGATATAGCAAGCAAGGCAGAAATCGAACTCTATGGTGATTGGCAGTACCGAGTGTAACTACATATTCTATGCATTACTGTGTATATATTCTATGTCTATATTCTATGCATTATTCTATGCATAGAATAGAATATATATTCTATGCATTATAGCATATATTCTATGCATTATATATTGTATATATTCAATGCATTATTCTTGCAACTTTTCTTTAAGTTTGAAATTATTTTCAAATAAAAATGTTTAAAAGACTAATACAAAATAGACAGTTCTTTTGACTTAGTAACTTCACTTCTAGGAATTTAATGTGGGAAAAGAATCTGAGATAAAGGTAAATGTTGAAGGGTGTTCACCCATGTGCTATTTATATTGGTAAAACATTGGAAATAACCTAAAAAGCCCGGCATTGGGAAACATCTCCATGAATTTCTGTAAGGGAGAAGGAGCCTGGCAGGGGACAGGCATTTCAGGCAGGAGGATGGGCATGAACCAAGGCCTGGTATGGGGAGGTGTTCAGCAGGGAAGTTTCAGGAGGGGGGCCCGTGGCTGCACTTAAGCTGTGTGAGTTGAAGAAGCCAGGTCACCAGAGGCAAAGGCTGTTGGCTAGAGATGCGATTAGAAGGGGGTCCAGACCAGAAGCAAGGCAGTTAGAGGTCACCTTGGTCCAAAATAAGAGACATTGGACCTCCAGTCTTGGGCTGGGGCTGCTACCCGTGGAGAGAGGCCCATGGCGCTGGTTTTGATTTGGAAGTAGAAATGACCTCAAGGTTGGGCTGTAGTCAAAGTGGCATCCAGGACTATCGAGGCTCTAGCTTGATCCGCTTAGTCAGATGGTGGAGGAACGCTGGGGGCAGGGTTGGGGTGCAGGAAAGGGCAGGGGCACCGAGAGATGGGTTTTAATCTTAATTGTCGGAGAGGTCAAGCAGGTGGTCAGATACGTGGGTGTAGAGTTATTCAGCAGAGGAGTCAGCGCTGGAGATGTAAACTGACTTCAGGTGAGAGATTTTATTTTCTATAATGAATGTGCATTAATGTTGTCAGGATTTTTTTCTAAAAATTACTTAGGTTGTTAAGTCTTCCATTTTTTGCACCCAGGCAAAAATACCTGAGACAGCAGGTACTGAGAGGGTCCCTACCCACAAGAAGGAGCGTGAAGGGAGCCCTTTCCCCAGCCCCACACACAGCACCCTGAGTTCCAGCCCCAGCCAAGGCCCAGCTGTCCAGGAGGGCAGGAAGCTTAAGGAGTGGGTGCAGCCTCCCCCAGAGCACCTCCCTCCCCAGGCCGGCCCCTACTTTCTCCCATCCTCCCGTCAGGGGCCGCACCCTGGGAGCCAGCTCTGACCTGGGGGACTTCAGCACTTTGTGGAGCAGGTCCTGCGGGATTTTGCGGAGGTGGATCTGCATCCCCACTAGAGGAACCAAGTTCATTTCCAGCCACTTCTCGCAGGCGGTGGTGAGCTGCTCTTCCTTGTACTAAGACAAGAAAAACCAGTTGATGAAGGAAGTCCTGAGCTCTTGGCGCCCCCTACTGGCCTGCGACGACACCACATGTGTGCTCAGAAGGAGGGTCTCTGCAAATGTGCTCAAACTTTTTCTACAAAATAGCTGGAAACCATCATTCTCAGCAAACTATCACAAGAACAGAAAACCAAACACCGCATGTTCTCACTCATAGGTGGGAATTGAATAATGAGATCACTTGGACACAGGAAGGGGAACATCACACACCGGGGCCTGTTGGAGGGTGGGGGGAGGGGAGAGGGATAGCATTAGGAGATACACCTAATGTAAATTACGAGTTAATGGGTGCAGCACAGCAACATGGCACATGTATACATGTGTAACAAACCTGCGCGTTGTGCACATGTACACTAGAACTTAGAGTATAATAAAAAAAAAAAAAAAAGAAAAAAGAAAAGGCCGGCGCGGTGGCTCACGTCTGTAATCCCAGCACTTTGGGAGGCCGAGGCGAGCAGATCACGAGGTCAGGTGATCGAGACCATCCTGGCTAACACGGTGAAACCCCGTCTCTACTAAAAATACAAAAAATTAGCCGGATGTTGTGGCAGGTGCCTGTAGTCCCAGCTACTCGGGAGGCTGAGGCCGGAGAATGGCATAAACCTGGGAGGGAGAGCTTGCAGTGAGCCGAGATCGCGCCACTGCACTCCAGCCTGGGCAACAGAGCGAGACTCTGTCTCAAAAATAAAATAAAAGAAAAAAGAAAAAATACATGAATTACAGCGTATACCTTTTCTAAGTGTTTTCTATGCTCGAGGCGCTGCCCTCAGTTGATTTAAATCAATCCTTATTGAAAACTTATGACATGGGATTACTGTTATCCCTATGTCACTGGTGGAGAAACTGATGCTCCCAGTTTCCTGCTCTTGCCTGTGGTCACACAACTCGTAAGTGGCAGAGCCGGATGCAAACGCAGGCAGCCTGACCATAGGCCTTACCACTGGCTCAAGTCAGTGGCCGATCATGGAGGGCCCAAGGGGTGTTCCCCGCGGGAGTTCTGAGGCTATGATGCGAACACACCCAAAAAGCAAGAATTAAAGGGCAGTGAAAGTGGAAAAGGCTTCCCAGAGCCAGGGACCTTGAGAGAGTTTTAGTACATCTCAAATAGCTTCAGGGCCTGGGGTCCTTCTGCAGCCCAAGCATTGCTGAGAAATGCTGACCAGGATGCAGATGCTACCACAAGTGACCTTGGGATTACCAGTGGGGCGAAGGGGAGGACGCGACGATAGGAGAACTGTGGCCTGCTGACTGGTATCCCCCCAGGTCACAGGTGACCATACAGAGAGAGCTGGAGTCAGGAGTCCTGGGGTTCGGACCCAGCTGGTTCCCCTGGGCAGGTTGCTGCCCTCTTTGGCTCTGTTTTCTACTCTGACAATGAGGTTGGATTCTATCATTTATTCCTAACCCTGACACACTGATTAGATCCAGGTGAGTCCAGACCTCGCGACTCCAGCAAGAATGTCCTGGAAGCTCTTCTGCTGCTTCAGTGAGAAAGGCTATGCTGCTTCTTCCCCCATCTAAGATTAAAGTCTTTCTATTTTTTTTGGTGTTAAAACATCCTTTTAAAAATAAAATGATGTTTTTTAAAAAAATGTGTTCATGTGGCAAAATAAAATATTTGGTGACTTCAAATCAATATTCTGGGGGGAAGTAGGCCTGGTGGGTAAAATCCCAGCATGTGGGCTGCTCCTGAAGCCCCCTCAAGGGGCGATGTGCCCTGTCTGGGTTGTTCTCACCTTGCAGCCGGCCTCGTAGAAGTTCTTGATGGTGCTTGGCATGAGTCTGGTTATCATCACATCCACGCACCTGGAGAGAGAGAACTGGAGTTTCTGGAGGAACCCCGCACTGCTTTTGGAGAAGCGGGAAGTCCCAGAGGTTCTTATTCAACTCCAGGGCAGCAGCAGACTTTTGCACGGAAGGGAGCCTCACTTTAGGGATATGGACATTTGGCCAGAGGATAAGACCAACATGGCTTGTTAGAAATAGCTCTGGGCCTGGGAGATGAGCCCAGAGATCAAATCCTTCAAGAGAAAACAAAGTAACCCTATAGCAAGGAACAAACATTATTGCTCAAAGCTGAAGTGCCAGCAGGTGCTGAGTTGAGGTTTGATTTTAGCCAACACAGCCATCTGGTCATCCCCCTACCTGAGGATTGTCTTCCTGTACAGACCCTTACGGTGTCACCAGAGGGGCCTCAAGTCCCATTCCTCTCTGCCCACAAATGGAATCAAAGAGCAGCTTTCAGATGAAGGTCTCTGTGAGCTCATGACTAGGACCCGTTGATTTGGCTCACCCACCCATGAAGGATCTAGTCACTGAGCACGTACCGTGTGCTAGGCACCCAGAGAGGTCCTTGGTGTGCAAAGAACAAAACTGATGGGCCATTGAGGTGACATGTTAAGTCAACTTTCAAACAGATAACCACATTTGACAGTCATGTTAAGGATTAAAAAGTTAAAGAACAAGGTGTGATGGGAAGGCAGAAAATGGAGACTTCAGCCTAGTGTGGTTAAATCAGAAAAGTGACCGGAAGTCAGAAGAGAGGCACTTAAAACCTGAAAGAGGAGGACAAAGAATTGGCCAGGCCAGGGATTGGAAGGCCAGCATTGCAAGAAAAGGAAACAGCATGTGCAAAGGCCCTGGGGCAGGAGCAGTTGTCGCACTTTGAGGGAATGTCGGGGCTGGCATAGCTGCAGTGCTGTGAGTTTAACACTGCTCCACACTGTCCCTCTTTGACTACTGTAATTCGTCTGGACTCAGCTCCAGCATCACCTCCTCTTGGAAGTCTCCCTGATTGCTCCTCTCCACATACTCCTTTAGCTTTGATTTCCATGACTCCCTTCTTCTACCTGGTTCCTTGCCTTCCTCCTAGAAGGGCATGGGCCGGGGTGGATGGAGTATGGTAGATGTGCTATGTGGCAGGTAGGGTCACAGACATTTCAGTGACTGAACTTTCACAGCTAATATTAACCTCTCTGCAGCAAAATTGCCTTGAAGCATGTTCACTTCATTGAGTAGGGCACCGCAGAGTAGCCACTGGGATCTCATACTGAAGCACAACCTTGAACTCATTATGACTCAGTGGTTGTTCACTTCATTGAGTAGGACACTGCAGAGTAGCCACTGGGATCTCATACTGAAGCACAACCTTGAACTCATTATGACTCAGTGGTTGTCCTAAACTCAGTTGAGATACACACTGCTCATGGGAAGAGGCCTAAAGGACATCCAGTACCTCTTGCACTTATTCTAAAACGTATCCCTCCATAAGGCCAGACCAGAAGGCAGCTGGGGTCTCATTGCCCCCAACAACCACATCCCTGAAGTAGCTTTTACTGAGTTGCATTTTGGCGTGCCGCTTTTGCCAACATCAAGGAAAAAAAAAATTATAAGATTTATTGTTGCATTTACTCTACAGATATTGTTGAGGACATTGATCATTAGGTTGCTCGGGGTCATCTGCTGAAGACATCCACCGTTTTAATACTAATAGTAGCTGTACTTCTCCCAAGTGAATTGCTTTTTAAACTTTTGTCTAGTTTTTATCTCATATCACTGATCAAGTTTCCCTTTTTATCTGCCACTAGCAAGTTCAGAGCTAAATGTATGGCCCATCTTAGGAAGAGTGTGGGTTATTACAGTTAGTATACAATGGTAGCCTCTCCATCTTTTTCTTCCTCCTTAAAAAAACAAACAAACAAACAATTTGGTGTTCTGTGGCTTCTTCATTTCATGTATTCATGGGAGTCACTCAAAGCCTTTACTAGAACAAGGTAAGAAATGATAAATGAATAAATAATCTGGTCATGGCCAAGGCACTCTACCTCCTTGTATGCTAGGATCGGCCCTTCAGACAGGGAGACTGACTCTACCCATTAGGAGGTGTCCTGAGTACTGGGGAAACCTGTGCTAAGTAAACATGAGGTGCTGCTGTCATCTACTGGGCATTTTGCCTTCTAAGACTGCTGAGTCCTGTCAATCCTGTATCTTGGCTGTCTCTTGAGCATGCCCCTCGTCTTGTTCCCACTTCCCCTGCCTATTTCAGACCCTCCTGGTCTCTCGGCTGAGCCTCTGCATAGCCTCTCAACAGCCAGCCTCCCTGCCCTGCAGCCTCCCACATATCTACCACATCCTTCACACAGGAGGGGCTCAGCCTAAAGCACAGAGGCTCTGCCACTCTCCCCTCCCAAGCCCAGGCTCCCCGCTCTGCTGACTGAACCAAGACCTGCTCATGTGGCTACAAGATCCTGCATGACCTGGGCTCATCCAAACCTCCGGCCATTGCAACTGCACTGGGTCTCAGTGGCCAGGCTCATCCCAGTTTAATGCTGCTCCGCCCTGTCCCCTCTCTCTCCCCCATTGACTGCCGTAATTCTTCCAAGCTCAGGTCCAGCACCACCTCCTCCTGGAAGTCACCCTGATTGCTCCTCCCCACATACTGCCTTAGTTTTGATTTCCATGCCTTCCTTCTTCTACCTGGTTCCTTACCTCCCTCCACCTCCCAACAGACTGCCAGGAAGCAACCCTCCCCATCCACATCCATCCTGAGTGCCAGCTCTGTGCTGACCTGTGCTGCTGGTTCTGGAAATGCCAGCAGGGACAGATGGAGGCCCTTTCCTCCTGGAGCTCATGGCCTCACCGGTCAGCACAGGTGGAAGCCCAAGGTATGACGAGGCTGAACAGGAGGCTCGGGCCCCACCCTCATTGGGCACAGGAGCCTTTAGGTGCTAGCTTTTGTCTGTCGAAACCTACAGGGAGCACTAACTGGGCTTGGAGTTGCGGAGGAGAAATGAGTGCCCCAGGAGGCTGACACCTTCTCTTATGCTTCCCCTTCTTCACGGTCAAACCCATTGGCTGGGCTGGACTGGAATAATCAGACTTCCCAGACCAAAGGAAGCAAAGAAAGCCACCCAGGCTCGCCTCTGGGCTCAGGGAGGTGGGGGGTTTCCACTTCCGAAAATTCTAAGGGACCAGGAAGTTGCCCACAGAGGAAGCTCAGCCCTGCGTGGAGGCAAGGAAATGCCCCTCTGGCGCTGTGAGCCTGGAGGAACCCAAGTGACAACCAGGGAGGTGCTCCGTGTGTATGTGTGTGAGCATGTGTGTGCATACACATGCATGCACATATGTGCTGGGACGTGCATGTGACAGCCATAATCCCAGCTGTGACTCTAGTCCAAGTGCCAATGAAGATATTGACATGAGAGTCAAAGGAACATCACCCAGCGGACGCTGTGTGCACACACTGCATCCCTTCAAGATGGGAGGCCTCAGGTATGTATGATTCAGAATCAAGCAGTCATCTGGCAATTTCCCACTGTGTGGGAGCTCAGCTGAGATAACCTGTGAGGTCTCATTCAGCACCTGAACATTGTGATGCTATCAGAGTGACCTGGGGCGCTTCTGTTACACAGAAACACAAACACACATGTATCCGATGATACCACACCCTGTCAATTGCGCCATCAGCCTCTCAAAGGCAGGCAAGACTCAGCCCAACTGTGTGCAGGCCCGCCCTGGCCTCTGACCTGGAATCCCAGCCCCACCACAATTATCTGGAGAATCTTGGGCAGGTCCCATCAGCTTCAGGCAAGCCTATGTTTGCTCATCAGTGGAATGAAAGGTTTGGCTCATTAGCTGCAAAGCCCTTCCTGCTCTGGCATTCAAAACAAGGTGGGGGGAGGGGAAAGGAGGAACCAAGAAGCTGATGTTCTTGGTTCATCTCTGGAGAAGCCAGGGCGAGAGTTCTGAAGGTGAGATGCGGCTTCCAGTCTGCTCCTACGGTAGGGCAGCTGAGGCTTGGAGACAGAAGGTGGCCAGAGGCCCCACTTCAAGAGGGAAGCTGCCCTGCCAGCACTCAGGTCAGAGATAACTTCCTGGACCGAACCAGGAAATAGCTGCTCAGAAATTCTCTGTGTATAGGAGCTTCGATTTCATAGTTACATATCACAAGACTATGCTGGGCTGACAGTGGGAGATATATACAATAGAAGGGGCATAGACATCTCAGGAAAACCTGGACTTTTCACCCCACCACCTTCTGGGTCAAGGCCAGATTCCTTAGATGGCTCTAAGATGCTACACCAGTTGGCTCTGCCTGCAACTACTCATCTCCCATCTACCACGGCCACCTAACCCCACAGTCTGACCATGCCGACACACTGACACACTGGAGTGCCTCTTCAAGACTCCAGGCCCTTCTCAATGTGTGTCCCCGGCAGAGAGGTCCAGGCACCTGCATTCCCAATGAGGCTGCCAGATGCTCCAGATCAAAGGCCTGGACCCAGTCATTTCAGGAGTCCCCAGAATGAGGCACCAGATCAAAAACGTGCGTGGGGTTGAATCTGACTGTGTGAACTCTACAAAAAACGAATTGAAACCTGTAAGGTCCCCAGGAGAGATCTGTCTCTCCCCTCTGCAGAGCAGCTAATGTCTTCTCTTGGCTTGGATGGTATACTCATTCATCCCTTCACTCACTCAGAAAAAGAGACTGACATTTAAGAAGTAAACAAAACAGGCAGACCACCTCCTGCCCGGATCTCTTCTTTATACTGAATCGCATCAGGAATTAGGGGGAAGAAAAGCCACAAGATACCACCTCTGTCTTCAGGACATCAATGCAGTAGGCACACATCCCCGAAAAAGCCCAGGAGATGAAACAAAATATTCAAGAGAAATGAATCCCATGAATGATTTTCCACTTGGTTCACTTACCCTTTCATAAGCATTAATGGAATGGAGGAATATTACAGGACACACAGAAAAGGGAGGAGAAAATCTAAGAAATGCTCTTTCTTATTATAGATACTAATTTTGCTTGAACTTAATAATACATAGCACAAAATTTTCCAGTTAGGAATTCCCAAACTTCATTCTTTCCACCTTTACTCACTTCTGGTGTCTTGGAGACGGTTGGACAGGAGACTTTAGAGGGCAGGGATCCTGCCCATCTGGTCCCTCACTGTCTCCTTGGCCTCCCAGAGAAGCCCAAGAAATCGTCCTTGAGGCAGATGAATGAATGAGTGTAGGTGTCAGTGAGTAAACTGACAAGTGGGTGACCCTAAGCAAACCTCTCCTGACTAAATGCCATCGAAGGGAGGGTCAGAACCACAAATGTGCAAGTGACAACATTACCACCTCACCCAAGCAAAGTGGAATAGTACAGTGTTAGAGGTCCAGGTTCCGGGGCCCGTTGACCTTCCAGTCCTGGCTTCTCTACTTGGCAGCTGTGTGGCCTTGGCCAAGTTACTTACTTCCCAAAGTCCCAGTTTTCTCATCTGTAAAATGAGCATAGTAACAGTCCTACCTCCTAGGGTTGCAGGGAAGATGAAATGAGGTCATCCCTGCAAAGAGCTGAGAACTGAAAGGCAAACACTCCATCCCAAAGCCCTATGTGCTGACATCCCCTACTCCCCAACAAAGTCCTGGGAAGTAGATGGGACAAATGTTATAAGCCACATTTTATGTCAGAGACTGCCAAGGTACATGGAGACCAAGGGGCACCTTATTGCAGAACTGAGCACAGACCCTGCACGGACCCAGGTTGCTTTTGGCTTCGCAGGAAAAGCCCAACGCAAACTGGGAGCTCTGATCTCACCCCATCAGGGTGCGCTTCCTCGGTCGCTTGGAGGCAGGCGCAAACACCAAGCAATGTCTGTTACCCCCTCACGCTCATGATTTCCGCATCCATGAGCCCAGGCAACCCTTGTCAGGATGAGGAAGCTTTCACATTCAATGCCAACCCACTTCGAATGCCTCCTGGCCCCCCACCACCTCCTCCCCACACCGACACACCCTGAGGAACCCTCCTGCCGGGCAGCCCAGGTGGGCCAGCAGGGTCTGAATGTCCAAAAGAGAGGCTATGCCTAAAATGGGCAGGGGCATTGTTGGGCAATTTTAACTTTGCATTTTCCTCTCTTCCAAAAGACCTACAATGACCGTATGTAACATTTATAACAATAAAAATATTATTTACAAGAAAAAACAAGACTATCTCAAATGAGCAGGAAAAACAAGGACTGACAGTGATGGGAAAGTCAGCTTACCCTCCAGTTGCCAGCTTGTGTGTGTGTGTATGACTTGAAGGAGAAAGATTTTTTTTTTTTTTAGCCAACAATGAAAAGGGGTGAAATTGATAAGCAAGCCTGGTTTGAGGGCTACTAGGAAGTCACTGTGTATACGCATGAAGTCTCTCCCAGTGGTAGAAATCCCCCCCATTTGCATTTCATTCCTGCGAGTCGAGAATCGTTTGGTTAAAACTAGTATGTTGCTGGAGAGATGGCTCACCTGTTATTGTGAATGAGTGTCTCAGTTCCTTTCCAGGCTCAAGGCCATGCTTGGCACAAAGACACCTGAGGTGTCTTAGCCCAGTGAAGAGGAATGTTCTACCAAATGGGCCAGGAATTGCCCTTCTGATTTCCCCCAGGCCTGGCCCTCCCCGAAGTCAGCCTTGTTTCCTTACCTTTGAACCAGGCCACTGAACTGGAGGATGTGGGCGGAAGCCAGCACCCCCAGTACATCTTCCAAGTTAATCTCCACCTCACTCACGTAGAGGTTCTTCAGGGCCGTGGCGAAGGCTGTGGAGACACAGCCAAGACAGCCGTCAGTGTGGGGCTCTGCACACAGGACACCACCCAGGGCCCTCCCTCACTACTGCAGCTGGGCAGGCAGAGGTGTCCTTAGAGAAAATGCACCATCTTTGACCTGGATGCAGGCACCACCCGGAAGCTGACGGTCTATGCTGCCAGCCTTCCCAAAGGAGTTGAGGCTGAAGCTAAAGAAAGCGGAGCTTCTGCTGAAAGGATCCTCCTTTAAGCCTGTTCTCAGGGCTGAGACCATCTTTGGGTTCTCTCCTAACCTGGGGTCTGTGGCCTGTGCAGGAATGTGACTACTCAAATATGTGCAGAATGTTGTGTGCAAGTCATGCATTTTTTTTTTTTTCTGGAGACAACATATATCTTACAGCAGATTCTCCTTGGAGTCTGGGGATTTCCAAAAAGGTTAAAGACTCTCGGAAAGAGCTAGAATTATTGGATGGTTCAGGAACTGAACTGCATGGCTAGGGGCCAGATGGACTTGGCTGATTCACCATCAGAGTGTCCTCTGGTGACAAATGGCCCAACTAGTGCTGAAGTTTCCTCACCAAGCGATTCCTAAACAAGTGCCATCATATGGCCTCCCAAAGTGCTGGGATTACAAATGTGAACCACCGCACCCAGCCCATAGATGCATTTTTAAATATCTGTTTATACTGAAATAGTTTAAGACTCATAAGAAGTTGCAAAAACAAGAGACAGGGGCAACAAAGAAGTCTACCCGAGTGGCTGTGAGGGGAAAGGGAGTGAGCCCAAGTTGGGGGAGGTAGGGGGTGGTCCTTGGCAGGAAGAGGCAGATGAAGTGCTATTTGGGAGCAAGGCTGGGCCTGATGGCTTCCCTGGGTGGGTGTGAGCCTAGAGCGGCAACTCCTCTTGCGCTGGGTCTGTCTCTGAGAAGCCGCTATCTTTTCCCGGTCTCTGCATCCTTCACACCCTTTCTCCATGACAAGAACCTCTCTTTAGTAATATTCCACCTTCTTCCATTTCCCCAAGTCACCCTAGCCTTCTCGCCCCTTCTTTCTTTGCACGTTCGGGCCTTTTGAATAAGAGAGCACTGAACACTGTCTACTGTTGGTTTGTTTTGCTTCGCTGTTGCTTGTTCATTTTTAAATCTGGGAGGACCATTTGTTCAATGGCATTCTCAGAATATAGACAGGTATATACATACCGACTTTAGTGACCAGTGGGTCACTGATCTTCAAGGAAATGATCATCCTCTTTGCAGGGGATTTTTCTTTGGTCTTCTTAGGTGATTGAGCTAGTAAAGGCAATGAGATGATGATGGATGGAGGTGATAACCATGGTGAAGACACAGTGGGAGGCACCCACCACCCTGGCATGACCGTGAGGTATCAAGACATGTATCACACTATATTTTCTTTGTTTCATAGATGTAATCTATCTATCTATCTATTTATTTATTTAATTTTTGTGTGTGAGATGGAGTTTCACTCTTGTCACCCAGGCTAGGGTACAGTGGCACTGTCTCAGCTCACTGCAACCTCCGCCTTCTGGGTTCAAGCTATTCTCCTGCCTCGGCCTCCCAAGTAACTGGGATTATAGGCATGCACCACCATGCCTGACTGGTTTTACGTTTTTAGTGAAAATGGAGTTTTACCATGTTGGCCAGGCTGGTCTCGAACTGCTGACCTCAGGTGATCTGCCCGCCTTGGCCTCCCAAAGTGCTGGGATTACAAATATGAACCACCGCACCCGGCCCATAGATGCATTTTTAAATATCTGTTTATTTTGAAATAGTTTAAGACTCATAAGAAGTTGCAAAAATAGTGCAGAGTTCCCTCATATCCCTCGCCTAACTTCCCCCAACGATCCTGCATAGCCCTCTGCATTGTCAAAACTGAAAAACTGATGCTCACACTGCATTTTATATATTTATGACCTCCCTTATCCTTTCTCTTATTAGGCTGTGAGCAGTTTGAGGGCAGAGTGAACCGCAGTCATTTCTGTACCAAGAGCACCTGGGGCAGTGCAGGCAGGCAGTGGGAGTGCCACCGGCTGAAGGGTGAACGTGGGACTGAAGTGTCCATATGGTGGCTACTGTCACTCTGCCCCAGACAGCTCCACTCTGGGGACCCCTGCCACCGAGGATTTCCAGGAGGAAGGGAAAAGGTAGCCCAATTCATTGCTAGCCAATGCCATCCACTCAGTCATCCTAGAATGTGAGTTACAGAGTGGCATTGCCCTCAGGTCTCCAGAGGTACCCCACAACCTTGGCACAAAAGCCAAAGCCCTACTAGCAGCCCCAATTCCTACATGGCCTACAACCCCTGGCCACCGCTCTGCCCATCACGCCCCCACCTGCCACCCCCACACCCCCGCCCCGCCCACCAGCATGCTCCATGGGATGGTGTGGGACTCGCGCCCTCCCTCCCTCATCAGGGGTCTTCTCACTTGTCCTTTCCTCTGAGAGGCCTTTCCTGACCCCAGATGTAAGGTAGCACCCCACTCCCCCACTAACTGGCTTTATTCTTCTTCAGAGACTAACTTGACCATGACCTTCCATTTACTACTCTGTGCCCCTGTTGCGCTTTTCTCCCTGGCAGCTCAGCTGAGGTGGTTCACTCGCCGCTCCATCCCCTGGGCCCACCCCAGGCTCGCACACACTGGTGCTAGTAAATATTGGCTGAATGAATGCAGCACGTGGATTCCATCACCAGGGAGCTCAAGGTTCCAGATAATGAAAAATGATGTGAGCCAGAGCCAAAAAGTCCATCATCCTGTGCAGCTACAAAGAAAAAGAGAGCAAAGGATCCTTTGCCCTCCGTTTCCCCGCGCTGTCGTCCGTCACCTGGCTCTGTGCTGGCTCTCACTCAGCAAATACTCACTGAGAACTTCCTAAGCGCCAGGCTTATTCCACTCTGGGTCACATTCTTCTCCGGCATGACTACACGGCCTCGCATCTGCTCATGCCAGCCTGCCATCCATCCCATGGCAGGGAGTAAATGGGAGGATGCACGTGAGTGCCTGGCACACAGTAGGCATGCAAGAGGTGGCAGTTAATATTACAATGTGTCACAGTATTTGTCATGCTTTCCAATCATTTTGGGTTTGTCTGTCCCTTCAGATGGTAAGCTCCTAGCACAATGCCTGGCATAAGCTAAGCATTCCACATAGGAAGGAAGGAAGAGAAGAAGGAAGAGAGGAAGGGAGGGAGGGAATCAGTTCTGTCAGAGTAAGTGAAAGGCAGAAGTTCAATATTCCCTCCAGGTTGAGTAAAACCCCCAAATCGGATAAGATATCAATAATTTGTTCACACTCTTCTCCAAGGTTCTCCAAAGCCAAGGTGGTTAGTTTGTTTTCGGTAAGTGGGCCGCTTCCTTCTTGGATTCCCCGCTAGAGAATAAACACGTCCTCTCCAGACAGCTGCTCCTCCACTCTCCATGGAAGGAAATCGAGCAGCTGGAGAGCCTGTGCATCTCTGCAGAGTCCAGCACTCCAGGGTCTGGCCAGAAGTTCCAGGATAGCAACACAGATGATCTCAAGAACATGCAAGTGATAACTGTGAGACAGGTATGCAAACCACCATTGTGAGATATGTTCGCTTTCAAAGGCACACGAAGGACTGTGACTGTTCCTATTGAAAGACATGAATCCCAGGGCTTGATCAGTCCATGGAGCTTGTGAGGAGACGCTGGAGTCGTGACAGTCCAGGACACTGGGGTTTCATCTCTGCACCTTCCCTCTTGTCTCCCAGCCAGGCGCAGCCTCTAGCAGGAAGGCTTGGATCAGAGTGGCTGTCTTAGCAGGGCCAAATATTTTCATTTTAGTGACCCATTCTAGACACGTTAAAGACCATAATGTTAATGACTCCATTTCTGCTTCCAAATTCTCCTGCTTTTCCATGAACTCACTGTCTGGCTCACCAGAGCCTTTCACAGATGGTCTGGTGAATGTTTTGACTTGGGTACAGGGAAGGTGGAAGAGCGCAGTCTGGCTGTTGAAGACACTGGGACAAAGGTTTCAGAAGAGCACAGAGGCTCATGAGCCAACACCGAGGTTGCTGCAGTTCTGCAGAGCCCAGCTGGCTCTCACTGCCTGCACCGCGGGGAAGGACTGAGTCAGATTCCCGCAGGCAGCGGGGCTCTCCCTCCAGGCTCAGGCTCAGGGAGGGGGAATGACTGGGGGCTCTGGCTGCCTGTCTGACTCTAGAATAACAGGGCTTTGCTGTCATGTCTTGGAAATGAAAGCCCATCATGACTGGTATGCTGGCTGGCTTTGGGGGCCTCGAATTTTCCATGGCACCTGCTTATGAGTCAGCCCGAGGGGATGCCAACCTGTAGCCCAAAGCAGCAGCTGGCAGTGCAGATGGAGACAACTTAGAGACCAGGTGAGAGGAGGCTGGGGTGGTCAGGCCTCCCTGCTGGGAGACAAAGAAAGAAGTGGCCTACATTCTTTTTGGAATGAGGTAGAAGAGAGATGAGAAGAGAAGAGGAAAGAAAATCAAAGACAACAACAAAATAGATGCACACATGTGGGCCTTGAATAGCACACTTAGGGCCAAATAAGTCACAGATATCAGAACTCCACCTTCCTTCCAAAAAGCTCTTCAGAAAATTCCCCACAGCCCATTTTTCCTTTTCAAAGAAGTAGGTAGAGTCTGTATGTCTGGGCTGGCCAGACAAGACTCGGGTTATTTCAAGGATAATAACTGGCATGTACTGAGTGCTCGCTGTGCACCAGGCCTTGTTCTAGAACCTCACACCTAGTACTTCCTCTACTCTTCAAAGCCGCATCCTAAGAACTATTATCCCATTTTACAGTTGAGGAAACTGAGGCTGTCACGGGATGAGATAACACCGTGGAGCCTTGCTCTTGACTGCTAGAGTGACCGTGGTCTCAAAACAGATAACCATGTTCCAAGCTGGGACCCTCAAGCTAGAGGGCACTGAGGCTCCAGCACTGGGCACCAGAGAGGAAGTACCTCGCAGAAGCTCCTCCAGCTCCCTCAGGGGGTACGTGGTGCCCTGCGTCAGGGCTTTCAGGTAGAGCTTGGCCAAGGTCTCAGACTGAAAAAGCTGGGGCCGATGGAGTTCCCATTTGAAGCCCAGGCACTCGAGAATCACATCTGAGGAGAGAAAATGATGCTGAGCAAACACATCAATAACGTCCCCACCCAAAGATGCATCAGCTTCCTCTCCCCCAACTCCTTTGCTCGGTGGATCATTAAGCAGATGAAGCAGGCAAGCAGCCCCCCCAGGCATCTCAGAAAGGAAGTGGTGAAGTGTGGGCCTCGGGGGCTTAGTGGCTTTGAGGGGGACACTGAAGGAGTCTTACGAGGTCACCCAGGACATGCCACATGTCCAGGACAGCTGTCGGCTAACAGCTGTAGGACTTCAGAGGCACTCGAGCTGCCCTCCAATGTGGGGAATCAGGAAAAGCTTTGTGGAACAGGGACATTGTCTGGGGCACTCCTGGGGGGCCAAGGCAACAAGAACGTTCTGGCTTCCCCTGCGACCGTGTTTCTCAGCCCTGACATTGTAAACATTTTGGGCCAGATACATGCGTTTTGGGGAGCTGTCCCGTGCACTGTAGATGCCCAGTAGCAGCCCTGGCATCTACTTACTACAAGCCAGTAGCACTCCCTCCTCAGCGGTGACAACCAAAAATGTTTCCAGACATTGCCAAGTGTCCCCAGTGAAGTCAAATCACCCCCCAGTTCCCTGTTGAGAACTACTGCACTATGAGTTCCAAAGCATGACCCATCTGAAATGTAATACCTACCCAAAGAGGGTAGGATTCTCGTGACCCTCCCTTGACAATAAAAGAAGGCTCTTTCCAAACTGTAGAAGACTTTATTCAGGGGCATCTAATTTGAGGATAAAGTCAGTGATCACTAAAAGAAGAGGCTTTTTGATAGAGGAGGGCAGAGGGCAAAACTGAGGATGCCAGGCCAGGTGAGGCTCGAGAGGCCATGGGGAGAGGACTCTGCATGGCTCAGCTCCTGTGTTGTTAGTACAGAGCTGGGGGAAGGAGAGGTGCCTAAAACCCTCAATCTGAGTGTCAGACAGGACCTGAAGGGCCACTAGCCCCATCTACGTATTTCTTGGTTTTGCCATTAGTTTCACAGTGTGACCTTGGGTACCTGATTCTTCTTCCTGTTATTATTATTGTTATTCACCAATATTATGATATTGTTTGGTGCTGGGGTTCAGGGGGTTTGCATCTCAAATATTACATCGCCTTAGGTGGACTGGTTATGTTGAGTTAGAAAAAGTCTCAGCCCATTAGGGTGATTATAGGCAGGGGCAGAATTGTGGATACAACATATTCACTCACTGGATGTCAATTTCCACTTTCAGGATGGCCAATGCATGGCAGCCATCACTAATCAATCCAGAGCTCTTTCTCTCATGCCAGGAGATGGTCTCAGACTACTTCTCCTGTTCAGAGTTGAAGGTGAGAAAAGAATTTGTTAGCCTCTCTTTGGAAAGGAGGCTGGCTCTGATCTCAGGCAGCCACACCATGTAGTAGGCTTTATCCAAAAAAAAAAAAGGCTGCTTTAAGAAGCTGTCCAGCCTCCTCATGAGGCTCAATGAACCTTTTTCTAGCAAAAAAGAACCTATCCTGATTCTTGATCCTGCCTCAGAAAAGTCCTCTTGAACAAGTGCAGCTGTGAACGTCCAAGTCACGACTGGTTAGAGCCCAAAGAGACAAAGAACAGCTGCTTTATGCTTGCTGCATTCCGTTTAGTCTTTCAATACAAAGACAACTTTTTTTTTTTTCTTTTTTGAGATAGAGTCTTGCTCTGTCACCCAGGCTAGAGCTCACTGCAACCTCCAACCTCCTCTTCCTGGGGTAAGTAATTCTCCCGCCTCAGCGTCCTGAATAGCTGGGATTACATGTGCGTGCCACCACGCCTAGTTAATTTTTGTATTTTTAGTAGAGATGAGGTTTTACCATGTTGTCCAGGCTGGTCTCGAACTCCTGACCTCAAGTGATTCACTCGTCTGGGCCTCCCTGCTGGGATTACAGGTGTGAGCTATTTATTGACACCAACACGTTTGTCTTTATCACAGTGAGGAGCATATGAAAATGTGTTTACCAAGCTTGGTTTTATTCACTGCACATTTGACAAATATTTACAGGGCACCTATTATTTCTCAGACACTGGGAAGTGGATAAGAATCGCAACTGATGGACGAGCGCCCTGGCTTATGGGCTGGTTTTCTTCCGTAAAGACCACAAGATGCCCCTGAAGTCAGCAGCATTCTGACTTAATCCACGGAGAACACAAACTCACCTGCTTCTGCACTTTGGATGTCCTTGTTCTTGAAATTCTCACAGAAAAACTTCTGAATTTGTGAAATGTGTAACCTCAAGGGAAAATGCAAACATAAAATCCAGGAGTTAATACTGACATTTTTCTCCAACTACAACATGGATTATTCTAGCATAAACTTCCTTAAAGCACCCATTGATTAAGCTATTCATATCTCGCCCTTTGGAAGAGTTTCCTCAGGTCACCATTTGTCTGTTGATCTGAAAAACTGTAGCCTTTCTGATAGCTGGCTTATAATGCTGATTCCTGTTTTCAGTTTGTGGGTAGGGCTTACTGAGGGGGTATTTGAGGTCGTACTTGGCTGCCTGAATGACACTTTATACAGTGTCTAAAACATTATCTGGCATATAGTAGACACTCAGTAATATCTGCTGGGAGAAAAGAATAGAGGTTTCTGCTCATTTCTAGGATGTTAATTCACCAACGATTTTGTTTAGAGGTCATACAGGTCCCACTCTCAGTGTGTCCAAAAACTAAACTTAGCATCTACCCCAAATCCTACCCTGCTCACTCAGATTCTCATTTCAGGAAATGGCACCACCAGCCTGCAGTTGCCCAAGCCAGCATGCCGAGTGTTGTTACATCTCATCACTTGCCTGGATATTTTGAATTTGTCCATCTCTCTTTGCTGTTCTTGCTATCACCTTCCTCCGAGCCCCTACGATCTCCCTTCAGTCACTGCCAAAGTCTCCCAGCCTCCAACCCTGCTCTGCTCGGATGCCTGCCTCCCACAAAATGCAAATTTGGTCTTGTCTCTCTCCTGCTGAGCATCCTCCAGTGTTTCCCCATTGCTCTTGGGGGAAAGTCCAAACTCCTTAGCATGGCTAACCAGCTCCTGCATGTTTCTGCAGCCTGGTCCCTCAACGGTCCCCACTCCAGCCCTTCTCAGCAGCCTGCACCTGGACCTGCCAACTGCTGCTTTCGTCTCTTGCATGCACTACTCCCTCTCCCAAATGCTCTCCTCCTTGCCTTTCCCCTTGCTAAGCTCCTACTCATTCTTCAGAATGAGCTTCATTGCTGCTTTCTCTGGGGATGCTGGGCCAGTGGCTTTCCCCCTGCCCGTCCTGGGATTTCTCCCTTAAAACTCCTTCTGGAGTGTCTTGTGGCTGCCCGTTTACTTGTGTATCCTCTGCGAGACAGATTGGGCATGTGTTTACTGCTATGACCCTGGCACAAGCCATCACGCAGGTGCTCAGCAAATATTCATTAAATGAATCCATGACCACATAGATAAACACCATGGACTCATCATGCTAAGCCAGGAAGTGAAACAAAATTTGAGTCACATATTCACAGCTTAAAGACAGTCATCCCAGAAAGCCAGCCAGCCAAGAGACATTTGTGACCACAGCTGGTCTGTGTCATGCAGTGTCAACTTTACCATGCTGTCTCCAACAATCCCAGGAGACCCCGTGGGCCAGGGTGCATGCAGGAAGCATGGGTGGGAGCCTGTGTCCAGAATATTACCAACTACGTGCTGCCCTGTCCAAGGGGGGAGGGTGGCTGCCAATGACTCAGCCTAAGGCAGGCAGTGGGAGCTGGACTTGCTTATTCAACAGGAGCAGTGGAGATCTGACCCAAGCCACCCTCGCTTCCTCCCTTGATCCTCCTCGTGGCTTGGGTGACACGTCTGGAAAGAGCTGGCCAGAGTCAAGAGTTCAGACCGTGATCTCAAAATGGAGCCATGGACTTTGGAAAATATGGCGCAAGGTCCATGAACTCAACTACCCTCACAAACATCAGTGTCATCAGCTGAGCCAAGGGGATGCCAGGAAACAGAGGTGAGCACACTGCCTTCTCCTGGGTGTGAGGGCTGCTTGTCAAGATATACCAACCATCATGTAGGCTCTGCCATTCCCAAGGGCTGCAGTTCATTTTAGGATCACTGGAAAAGTGAACGGAACACATGGCATCTGTGAGTTGTCTCACTGTTTGGGACTAAGTGGTCCGAGGTGAACTCCCATTGCAACACCTGGTGCGGGGATGCTGGGAACGTGCTGTTAGGCTGGAGCTCATGTCCCCAAGTCATGACCATGATGGAGAAAGGCAGAAGGGGAGGAAGGGGAAGTAAGTTTCTCATGGACATACGGACTTCCTGGAGCAAACTATCCAAAGGTCAAAATGCCAATTTGATGAATTAGAAAGAGTGACATAGACCTGGGGCTGGACCTCAGTCCTTCCATTTTCTGCCTCTTGGTCTCAGAGGAAGGGAAGAGTGAAAGAGTGAATGTTTGGAATGCCTGGCACGGACTTGCCTTTGGTTAACATTCTCTCTTTCATTGTCTCTGTGAAGGGTGCCAAAATAAAAATGGAGTTATGATGCCTTAAAAACCCTGACGGAGCCTGGCATGGTATCATGCTCCTGTAGTCCCAGGTCCACGCAAGGCTGAGGCAGGAGGATCACGTCGGCCCAGGAGTTCGAGGCTGCAGTGAGCTGTGATCATGCCTGTGAATAGCCATTGCGTTCTAGCCTGGGCAACTGGGCGAGACCGCGTCTCTAAATCTCTTTTAAAAAACAAAACAGCCAGGCACAGTGGCTCACGTCTGTAATCGCAGCACTTTGGGGGGCCGAGGCGGGCGGATCACGAGGTCAGGAGATCGAGACTACCCTGACTAACACGGTCAAATCCCGTCTCTACTAAAAAAATGCAAAAAATTAGCCAGACGTGGCAGCGGGCGCCTGTAGTCCCAGCTACTTGGGAGGCTGAGGCAGGAGAATGGCGTGAAACCGGGGGGCCCGGGAGGCGGAGTTTGCAGTGAGCTGAGATCGTGCCACTGCACTCCAGCCTGGGCGACTGAGAGAGACTCTGTCTCAAAAAAAAAAAAAAAAAAAAAATTCCACCCAACAAATAGAGGTGGGGAAGGCCAGGAAGGGAGAATTCTCACACACGAATGCCTGATAATAAGAACTATCACAAAAGACTCTGCAAAACCTACAACTGCACACAAAGGCCATCATAACCTCACACACAAAAAAGTACTGCGAGGACATCTGCCTAGCAGCTCAAACTGGTGTCACCCTTGTTATGGATCCTGGTAGCCAGGGATAATGATCTCAGAGCAATGACACAATCCTCCTCACTTTTCTTTTAAAAATCTTTGTCTTGCCAGGCATGGTGGCTCATGCCTGTAATCCCAACACTTTGGAAGGCTGAGGCAGGAGCATCACTGGAGCCTGGGAGTTCAAGACCAGCCTGGGCAACATAGAGAGACCCCCATCTGTACAAAACATTAAATAAAAAATTTAGCATGTGGTGGCCATGTCTGTGGTCCCAGCTACTTGGGAGGCTGAAGCAGTAGGATCAATTGAGTGTGGGAGGTTGAGGCTGCAGTGAGTTGTGACTGCACTACTACACTCCAGCCTGGGCAACAAAGCAAGACCATGTCTCAAAACAAAACAAAAAAACCTTTGTTTTCCTTTACTTCCCTGAAAACGCACATAGTTTATGGTGGCACTGGTATTCCATTGCAATGCTCGTTCCGGAATAAACATCAACTACTTTTAAAGAGTCTTCCTCTCCTCTCTGTTTGTTATTTAGGTTAACACCTCTATAACGTGGGTCACTGGTCTCTAGCCCCACTATCCCAGAACTGCTCTCTGGTTAAAAATAAAATAAAATAAAAACATAGGGGTCCCTTCTTCCCATCCTCACCTCTTAAGCATGACCTCCTCCCACCCTTGAATGGACTTGGCATTGCGGGCAGAAAGGGAGAAAACCACCAGGCAGCTTCCCCAGCTGGGGACAGGGAGGGCTCCGGGCCTTTCCTAGAGCCACAGTCCCCTAAGCCTTCGTGGGGTGGGGGTGCCCCCTCCCCAGTCTGGCCTAAGTCACACTCCTGCGCTGGATCTCTGGGTTTCCATGACAGCACACTTCCATACATGCCAGTGGACCCCAGGGACACACTTGACACATGTGCATTGAGTCTATATGTGCCATACACTTTTCTAAGCTCGTTACATGAATTATGTCATGTAGTTCTCACAGCAACCCTGTAAGACAGCATCCCCAATTCGCACATAAACTAAGGCACGAAAAGATTAGGGTGCTTGCAAGGAAGTTCACATTTCCTCCTCTCAGCCTCCTCTCCCACGCTCAGTGCCACAGAGCCTGCGAAAGGTCCAAGGCAAGAAGACCAGCAGCCTGAAGATCAGCTCCCCTGAGTGGCTGACCAGGAACTCCCTGCATCATGAAAACCCACAGACACGGCTGAAGGAAGTATTGGCCAGCTGGGCACAATTACATACCCAAAATAGACAGGAAACTGGGAGCCTGCTCCCTCAGCTTTCTACCATGAATGACCCTTTCCATAACTCAAGAAATACAGATTGGGCCAGCTCCTGTCCAAGCAGACAGCACCCCCAGGTGGGAAAAGCAGCAATGACACCATCCATGACGTGAACACAGCTTGCCAGGTGGAGCAGTGCTTTGGGGGACAAAATGTATGTTTCATGGAGCATTCCAGGCCCTTACTGACAGTGGAGTTTGCCATCTGAGAGTTGCCTGATGCCTGAAGGTTCACAAGAGTTACCAGGAAAAAGCCTTTCATGTTATTATCTAAATTAAACACAACCTTTTTTCTTTCTAAGAAGTTTCTCATAATCACATGGAAGAAATTCCTCTTGTGAAGACAAAGAAAAGGGGTGTGTGGGTGTGTGTGTCTTTCTCTTTTTTTTATTTTTTTTTATTTTTTATTTATTTTTAGAGACAAATCTCGCTCTCTCTCCCAGGCTGGAGTGAAACGGCACAATCATAGCTCACTTCATACAGCCTCTATCTCCTTGGCTCAAGTGATCCCCCCACCTCAATCTCCCAAGTAGCTGGGACTACAGGTCCTGGCTAATTTTAAAATTTTTTGTAAAGACAGGGTCTCGCCGGGCGCGGTGGCTCAAGCCTGTAATCCCAGCACTTTGGGAGGCCGAGGCGGGTGGATCACGAGGTCAGGAGATCGAGACTATCCTGGCTAACATGGTGAGACCCCGTCTCTACTAAAAATACAAAAAAACTAGCCGGGCGTGGTGGCGGGCGCCTGTAGTCTCAGCTACTTGGGAGGCTGAGGCGGGAGAATGGCGTGAACCCGGGAGGCGGAGCTTGCAGTGAGCCGAGATCACGCCACTGCACTCCAGCCTGGGAGCACAGCGAGACTCCGTTTCAAAAAAAAAAAAAAAAAAAAAGACAGGGTCTCACCATGTTGCCCCAGGCTGGTCTCAAATTCCTGGCCTCAAGCTATCCTCCCACCTTGGCCTCCCAAAGCACTAGGATGACAAGTATGAGCCACCATGCCCAGACACGTTTGGTTTATTACAGCACATCAGTTTCTCCCACACTCAGTAGACTGCACCAGGGACTTCAATTCTTCATCCCTCCCTCTGTCCAAATCTTTTACCTCCATATTGCAAAATTTCTCTCCATAAGGAAATGGAGTGTGTTTTCTGTCCCTTGACTGGGAGTTTGGCCACGTGACTTGCCTCAGTTCACGGGGCCTAGTGGATGTGAAATGGTGGAAGGTCTGAAAGACGCATGTGCTCCTGGGCTTACCCTCGTGCCCACTGCTGTCACCATGATAAGCATGTGCCCAGGCTAGACCACTGTCTCAGGAGGAGGACAAGAGGCTCACGGAACAGAGCCCAGGTGCCCTGGCAGAACCGATCCTGGATCAGCTGAGCACCAGATGCATGGCTGTAGACTTGCCCAGAACCCCTGAGAGTATCTGCTGCCTCTGGACATGCAGCTTCCCAACATCACAAAGCAGAGGGCCAGATGTGTAAAAGTTTCTCCCTGGAAGACCGGTTCCTCCGCCCCTGTTGTGCTGGAGGAAGGTGTCGTCCTGGAAGAAGGAACTGGGGAAGGTGCAAGGAGGCAGAGTGAAATAAAGGAGGTGTTGACTGGCAGAGCACAGAGCTGAGACACCCCAAGATGAAATAACGGGGATTAATTACTAAAATGCTGCTCAGGCAATAAAGAAAATAATTTTGTTTACTAAGCATCTACTATTTGCCGGAAAAAGTGCTAAGCATTTTCAATAGATGGCTTCATTTAATCCTCAAGATGACTCTTCATCTTGAAGAAGGTGCTATATAACCATTTTAGAGATGAGGAAACTGAGGCCCAAAGAGGGTTAGCCACTGACTAAAGGTCACAGAATTAGTAAGTGAAGAAGTGGGGATTCCAACGCTGTTGATAGACTGCTGTTAACAGTCCAAATGCCCAACACCAAATGCCATTTTTGCACCCCACCCCTCAGGCCACTGCCTCCAGTTTAGCTCAGTAACTCCTAGGGACTTAGTTCCTGCTGTCCAGACCCTCTCATCAGCTTTTGGGGTCACTTTGTCTGTATTCCTAGGCCTAGCTCCAGCACCTGCATCCCTGGCCTAGGCCTGGCACTAAGGAACTCAGCAACGGAACAGGGTTGGCCAGTGGCTCTAGAGAGGGAAGATTTGGCTACTCGCTGAACAAAGATTGAGCAGGCAGTTCTTCTGTGCCAGGTGCTGCCCTAGGAGTACAGTCCATGCTCACTTCGATTTGGCTGTGAGCTCACAAGACAGATGCTGCCAGCCTAGGGATGGTAGCGGCATCAAGCCAGGTCCACGGCACCAGGGAAATGAGGTATGCCTTCTGCAATAGGGGTGGTACAAATTGCGTGGTGGCTCATGCCTGTAATCCCAGCACTTTGGGAGCCCGAGACAGGCGGATCACGAGGTCAGGAGATCGAGACCATCCTGGTTAACATGGTGAAACCCCGTCTCTAATAAAAAATACAAAAAACTAGCCGGGCAAGGTGGTGGGCGCCTGTAGTCCCAGCTACTCGGGAGGCTGAGGCAGGAGAATGGCGTAAACTCGGGCGGCGGAGCTTGCAGTGAGCTGAGATCCGGCCACTGCACTGCAGCCTGGGCGACAGAGCGAGACTCTGTCTCAGGAAACAAAAAAAAAAAAAAAAATTTGATCCCCAATGTTGGAGGTGGGGCCTAATGAAAGGTATTTTTGTCATAAGGGCAGATCTCTCATGAATAGATTAATACCATCCCTCAGGGGTGAGAGTTCTCACTCTCTTAGTTCCCACAAGAACTGGTTGTTAACAAAAGCCTGGGACCTCCCCTCCTCTTTCCTGCTTCCTTGCTTGTCATGTGATTTCTGCACACTCGGCTCCTCTTTGCCTTCCGCCATGAGTACAAGCAGCCTGTGGCCCTCACCAGAAGCTGAGCAGATGCTGGCGCCACGCTTCTTATACAGCCTGCAGAACCTTGAGCCAAATAAACCTCTTTTCTTTATAAATTTCTGATCCTCAGGTATTTCTTTACAGTAACAGAAACAGACTAAGGCAAGGGTCCAGCTCTGTGTTTCCAGGAGAGGCAAGAGGAACTCATCACATGGGGAAGTGAGGGTCTAGCCTGCTGCTCGGAACACTATGAGATTGAGAGAGGATCAGTTGATTGGGTGAAAATGGACATTCACAAGCTGTCTACACACTGAGCCAGGACTAACTAAGTTTTGTTTGTCAAAAAACCAGTCGGTTCCTGGATGATAAACTCGGAATCCTGTTTGGGTTCAAAGTTCCCAATGGGAAGAAAAATTGTAAAAAAAAAAAAAATTCAATCTTTCTCTGCCCTTTTGTCACCACCCACATTCTCAGAGGTAGTAGTCACTTATGACCCTGTCTGTGCCTGAAAGCTGGCTCCAGAGGGAGCCTTCCTGGCAGATGTGCCCTTGACAGCCACTCCAGCCAATCAGAGTGGCCTGGTCATCAGCCACTCCAGCCAATCAGAGTGGGCCGATCATCAGGCACCTCCCCTCCCAGGAATGATGGGCCATTCCTTCCCACAAATCTTTAAGTCTCCCTACCTGTCTGGGTTCCTCAGAGCTTCCTCAAAGTCTATGCTCAGAGCCTTGAACATCTGGGAAAGTGAAAGCAGGTCCCCAGTAAAAGGCTGTTTGGGGAAACGCCACCGGTTGGTTGAGCCAGCGATCCGGCGTTCCAGCCGAGCTCTGTGCTGCTTGGTAATCAAAGAAAGAGAAGACATCGTTTTTTCTAACTTCACATAAATGCCAGATTTTCCAAATTGTACAGCAGGAAGGAAATCAAGACAAATTTTACAGTGCTGGTTAATTTTTGAACATGGCTAATATTTCTCACGAGACATCTCAAGGTAAAGACGCTGTATTCCATAGACCAAGGATCTCAAGCTACAAAGTAATTTGGAATTTAGGATCTAAGACAAGAGGTGCCAGAGGGCAAGAGGTCAGGGAGAAACACTGTTTTTTGCAGGTAGCTCTCTGAAGAATCCACAAGCAGGGATAGTATTATGCTTTAAGTACTGTCCTTTGAGTACTTATCCTAACTTATCATACAGAGAGATATTAAACTGTGGAGATATTGGGCAAGGAATTTTTTTTAATGGTGGTAAAATATACAAAACATAAAATTTTATCTATTTTACAGTGTACAATTTGGTGGCATTTAGTACATTTACAATGTTATACAACCATTACCACTACCTAATTCCAGAACATTTTCATTACCCCCAAAGGAAATTCCATACCTATCAAACTGTCACTCCCTGTTCCCGCGTCCCCAGCCCCTGACAACCACTAATCTGTTTTCTACGATTAGCCCCTATGTTCTGATTTTATGTTTTCACCTGTTCTGGGTATTGCATAGAAGTGGAATCACACAATATGTGGCCTTTTGTGGATGGCATCTTTCACATAACATAATGTTTTCAAGGTTCATCCATGTATTGGCACTTCATTCCTCTTTAAGGCTGAATAATATTCCATTGTGTAAATTTTCCACATGTTGCTTATTCCTTCATCAGTTGATGAACACTTGGGTTGTTTATACCTTTTGACTATTGTGAAGTGTGCTGTGAGTATTCATGGACAAGTTTTGTTTGAACACCTGTCTTTTTATTATTTTGGTTATATACCCAGGAGCAGAACTGCTGAGTCTTTGGGCAGGGGCTTTTACTTAGACATTTTCTTGAGGTTCCAGGAGAAATTCAGCAATTTACATAAAACAGAAGGACAATACCCAGCATGGATGTAAACCTTAGACTGAAGGCCCAAAGCAACCTAGCAAGGAAAAAAGCACCAGGAAGGACCCACAGGAATGGATGTCATTGATCCCAAGCCAACCAGGGCACCAATGGAGAGGTGGTGAGACCATGGGCCACGGACTAGAGCATCTGAGTTCAAATCTTGTTATTGCTACTTTCTAGTTGTGTGACCTTGAGCAAGTTATGTAACATTCTGAGGCTGTCAGGTCTCATGTGTAAAATGGGAATAACGAGTGGTGGTGGTGACAGTAATGGTCATCATGACAATGATGGTGAGGATGGCGGTGGTGGGGATTGTGGGGATATCATCTTGTTTCCAATGTTGTAAAAAGTATAAAGTAGAATAAAGTTTGGGAAATATGCCTTAGTATAGTGCCTCGAAGATGGTGGATGATTAAAAACTGTGGAATCTGAGTCTAGATATAGTGCTGCTGTCACGTGAGAAGTAAAACATCGCCAGCTCAGACCAGACGCCTGCTCTCTGGATGGCCCGCTGCCTGGACGCACTCTTTCCAGCCGAGTCAGCCAATAACGCTTAAGGTCCTCGGTGGTGCAGGACCCAGCTCCTTGTGGAAATTTGTCAAAATGACCATAACCAAGTGCTTCTTCTCATCACCTACCTTCTTGAGAAACTGATCTACTTACCGTGTTTGACATTACCGTGAATGAAAGTGGAGATTACACAGGAGAGAAAAGATAAGCAACCTAGAAGACAAAAGAGATAAAGGTGAAATTTTCCATACTTTTCAAAATATTATGGAGGAGATTGGCCTAAAGAATCTATATTTTGCCACAGGAACGATAATGAATAAGCCTTGAATGTGGGTTTTTTATCAATCAAGAGAATATCTTGTTGTTGCTGTTTTTTATTTGTTTGTTAGCTTTTTTGTAAGCAGATGAGTAGACAGATAGATCTCTGCTGTTGTTCTGGGAAAGTGGCTCAGATCAAGCAAAACAGAAGATAATCCTCTGCCAAAGTGAGGAAGACCGAAAGATAGCTATAAGTAGGCTGATCACATAATTGATCATTCAGACCAGGGGACTAAAGGGATGATATTAATGATTAGGCCTAGACAATGACTGTAGGCCAGGGCTGCCCTGGAGTCCTGTAGACTGATGGTCACCCTGGCTTACAGGTCATGAAAGAGGACGAGTGGAAGGACTTTCCAGCTATCTCTGAACATTATCAGGGCAGTTGGGTTACAAGCAACAGAAACCCATTTGATTATGGAGTTGGGGGGAGGTTAAGATAGATTGGAAGGATGGTGATGAGAGGAGGGTCTCATAGACTCAAAAGGAAACTGGAGAACTCTGGGAAAGAATAGGAAGCAGCTGCAGGGGCCTGGGTGGCATGCACCAGCAGTTGGTGGCTGTTGTCAGGCGCTGCCTCTAGCATGAGTCGGCTCTCCCACAGTCCATCTATGCAGGGTTCTGTTCAATCCAGATTCTCAGCAAGAGGCCCCAGCTGGCCTGGCTTAGCTCAGGGGCCCACTCTTTGGCCCCTGAGAGCAGACACCTTGACTAATTCTCCCAAGAAAAATGTGCACTGGTGACTGGGTAGTTCCCCAGAGCAACATCAGAGAAGAGAAGAAGTGGGCGAGCTGGTAAAACCAGCAGAAGCCATGGCACTTGATGACCAAGAACCTCAGTTGACCTCCCCTTTGTTCCCCAAACAGTACTTCACCTGCATCACAGTCATGGTTATGTTCATCCATTCACCAACAAGCATTTCCTGTGCAGTCGTCGTATGGAAAGAGGTGTTAGCCGTTTCTGAGAGACAGCAGTGAGCAAAATGCACATGATTCTTGCCTCACGGAATTTCCATTCCACTTGGGCAGACAGGCTTTTCTTTGCCTTTTAATTGCCTTAGTTGGACTTTTTAATTGTATTAATAATATATGCTTGTTGTAACAAGTGAACCAATACAATGACAGGAAAGAAAAATTTAACATAGCTGCATAATATTACTTTTTCTATTTTTGAGACAGGGTCTTGCTCTGTTGCCCAGGCTGGAGTGCAGTAGTATGATAAAGGCTCAGTGCAGCCTCACATCTGCTGGGCTCAAGTGATCCTCCCACTTCAGCCTCCCCAGTAGCTGGGACTACAGGCGTCCGCTACCACACCTGGCTAATTTTTTAATTTTTCTAGAGCCAGGGTTGCCCAGACTGATCTATATTGCCCAGACTTGTCTTGAACTCCTGATGTCAAGCAATCCTCCTGTCTTGGCCTGCCAGAGTACTAGGATTATAGGCATGAACCACTGTGCCTGGCCCTATAATATTTCATACAGTGACTGCATCATTATTTATTAAAATATTCCTCTGCCAAGTCATTGAGGTTATTTCCTATATTTTATTCTCATAATAAGAACAATGGAAACAATATGCATACACATTATTATGGCAGTTTGTGTACATGTGTGTATGCATATATCTATACATGTTACCTATATCTCTATCTGTATATATATATGTGTGTGTGTGTATATATATATATCTTTGTGTTACTATTTTTATTTCTATGAAATAGTCTTCCAAGTGGTATAGTTATGTCAGACATCTGTATCTTCATTGTTGTTGCTGTTTTTTGTTTGTTTGTTTGTTTTTTGTAAGCAGATGAGTAGACAGATAGATCTCTGCTGTTGTTCTGGGAAAGTGGCTCAGATCAAGCAAAACAGAAGATAATCCTCTGCCAATTCATTTGCCCCAAAATTGCAGCAATTAACATTTCTATCACCAATTTATAAGTGTTGTTTTTTTCACAACATCTCCAGTACTAGGTGCTATCATCATATTTATTTTTGCCAAGCTGGTGAGTGTCGGATGGTTTCAGATTCTTATTTTAATTTGAACTTTCCTGGCTACCAGTGGGGTTGAGCATTCTTTTATCTATTTATTGGCCCTTTAATTTTTCTTTTCTGAAAACCGCCTAATCGTAGGCTTTCCGTATTTTTCTACTGGGTTACTGTAGTTTCCTGAGCATTTTTTAAGGAGTTCTCTAGGTACTGGGGACACTAACATTGTGTCTGTCATACATGTTGCAGAAGTGTATCATTTGTCTTTTGACTTTGTTTATGGTAAACAAATTGTTTCATTAGGTATGAAAATATGTCGTGTGTGTGTGTGTGTGTGTGTGTGTGTGTGTGTATTTCCTTTGCCAATCTCTAATTTGAAAACATATCTGGGGGCCAGGCCCGGTGGCTCATGCCTGTAATTCCAGCACTTTGGGAGGCCGAGGCAGATGGATCACCTGAGGTCAGGAGTTCAAGACCAGCCTAACCAACACGATGAAACCTTGTCTCTACTAAAAATACAAAATTAGCTGGGCATGGTGGCGCATGCCTGTAATCCCAGCTACTTGGGAGGCTGAGGCAGGAGAATCACTTTAACTCGGGAGGTGGAGGTTGCAGTGAGCCAAACTCGTACCATTGCACTCTAGCCTGGGCAACAAGAGTGAAACTCTGTCTCAAGGAAAAAAAAAAAAGAAAGAAAAGAAAAGAAGGAAGGAAGGAAGGAAGGAAAGAAAGAGAGGGAAACGTGTCTGGATACAAACATGGCCCTGGTGTTTGTACCCACCTGCCAGTGTCCTCATTTGCTATTGCATCCCTGTATGCATGTGTGTTAAGAGCATCTTTGTCTGTTCAAGTAGCTTTCGAGGTACACTTGGGTTTAGAGCAATGTGTGTTTTCCTTGATGGCTGAGTTTCCACCTTGCATGAGGAGGCTTCTCCCACCTCAGGGAACACATACATGCTTTTCTGATCCTTTTACCTCACAGGAGCCAGGCTGATGAACTCCTCAGCTTAAAACCCTTCACCAGCTTCCCACTGCCCTAGACATAGACCCCCGAATCCTCAACGTGGCCTAAAGGAATCTGAGAAGAGAGAAGAGGGTTCCATTCTGAAGCAGACCTGGTCAGCACAGAATAAACCCCACACAGGACTCGCTATGCCCACGGAGCACCGCTTCAGTTACGGAGAGAGGGAGGCTGGGGATGGCGCTCAGCGACCCAAAGCTCCTGCTTTCTTAGATCAATATCTAAGAACTTTTTTAGCTGATCTTCAAATCCAGGGATATCTCAATGGCCTGGAAATGTGTTCTTTTTTCATCCCACCAGGCCACCTGCCTCTTCATGTGTTTTGAGAGCTTGTGCCGAGGTCTCTGTGCGTGGGCAGGAGCTACCTACAATGGTATCTCAGCTCCCAGACCCCTCCTGATTCCCCAAACTCCCTCCCTGCCAAGTAGACCAGAAGGACCCAAGTCTAAGCAGCACCTGTCCCTAAAACACCCTTCTTGGTCTCTGAAGTGGCCAAAAAGTACCCATCGTACTTACCGTTCTCAAGCCCTCTTGCCCACCACAGGCGTGTTCACAGCGGGAGCTTGCTGAGTGGAGGAACTCGCATCACACTGGCCTCTGAGTTACAGGAGAGCCGGGGGCTGGGCACCTTCTGAGCCTGAAGCCCGGGAGTGCTCATCACATCTGGGGCTCACCCTTTTCTTCTTATGGGCCAAGGTGCTTTGACAGGGGGAGCTTGCCTTTTGTTTCCTGGGTGGTTGTGAGCACCACGGCAACAGCAGGGAAGGTTCCAAGCACTTCCTGTTCCAGGGCCGGGTTTCAGTTCAGGCTGGGGCTGTGTCCAAGGCCCTGGCTGATGAGGAGAAGATGTGAGTGATGGCATCTCAGAGACCAATGTGGGTGCCAAGTGCCTCCATTCCTGTTCCTCCTGGGGCAACCCAGGACAGAGCCTCAGTGAGAGTCAACCCCCAAATCCTCAGGCTTCATCTGTAAAAGGAGGAGATTAGACTAGAAACTTCTCAGATCCCTCCCAGCTCTGGCATTCTGGGGTCCTCTATTTCTAGTGTTTTCTGGGTTTTGACAAAAATATTTCAGTAAAAATTGAGGGTTCTGCATTATTAAAAACTATGCCTAATGAGGTACTTCATTGATTATGATTTTTAATGCTGCTCTCTCTGGCAGCTAAGGACTGCCTAAAAGTCAAGGACAAGACTAAGAGCCTTCAAGCTGGCATCCAGAGTGAAGACGTTTGCGTTTCTTTGTTTGTTTTGTTTTGTTTGTTTTGAGATGGAGTCTCACTCTGTCGCCCAGGCTGGAGTGCAGTGATGTGATCTTGGCTCACTGTAACCTCCGCCTCTTAGGTTCACTGGGTTCGAGCAATTCTCTTGCCTCAGCCTCGTGAATAGCTAGGATGACAGGTGCCCGCCACCACATCAGGCTAATTTTTGTATTTTTAGTAGAGACGGGGTTTCACCATGTTGGCCAGGCTGGTCTTGAACTCCTCAGGTGATCCGCCCACCTCGGCCTCCCAAAGTGCTGAGATTACAGGTGTGAGTCACCGCGCCCGGCCCTGAGTACAATCTTGCAGTGTCCTCAGCAGCGTGGCCTGTGAAGCCCATGACCCGAACTAGGGGATGGGGAGGTGGAGGCCACATGGGTCAGGGCCACATGGGTCACCACGGGTTCATCAGAGGCCTGAACCACCACCCCAGGGATCACAGAAATCCCTAGTTACAGTAACAGGAACCCGGAGGCAGTACGGCCTATAAGACCCGATGCCAGCCTCTCCTAGGTCACATACATCCTAAAGTAAAACAGGAAAGTAGCTGTGCTGTCTCCTGTGGCTGTGATCTAGAAACTATGAAATACTCTATGAATGGGAGGTGCCCCTGAATTTATCTCCCCCTCAGCCCTCAAATCCTGTGATTCTACCCCTCCCAACACCGTATTCTGCTTTGCAGAGAAGCTGATCACTGTGGAATGTTCTGTGAGTGACTTACCCATCTCTGCATCCCCAGAGCCCAGCAACCAAACTTGGACTTTAGAAAGTGCTCTATAAACATCTCTAGAATTGGGTAATTGGATGTACTAGTCCGTAACCACCACTCTGCCTGTGCACATGCTTGAGTGCCACATGCATACGTGTGCACATGTGATTATGTATGCATAGGTATGTCTGCTTCTGTGTTTGGGTATGAACATGGCCCTGGTGTTTGTACCCACCTGCCTATGTCCTCATTTGCAATTGCATCCATGTATGCATGTGTGTTAAGAGCATCTTTTGGCTGTTCTAGTAGCTTCCAGAGGTGCACTTCAGCTTAGAGCAATGTCTCTTGGTTGTGCACTGGATTTCGGGTTTGGGAGTGAGATGACAGGAGGTTTCGTGGTAGTATACAACTGGTCCCAGCAACGGCCACCTGGTTGGGGAAACAGCTGATTGTCAGGTTTCTGGTGTTTAGTAGAAGCAGCAGCAGCTGGTACTGCAGTCAGGATTTGAGGTGGGGTCCAAAGGAATCCACTGCTGCTCACCTCTCAGTGTAGCTCTTCTGGTGATCAGGAGGTAGGGCAGGACGTGCACAATAAGAAAAGTGGTGGGAGAATAATGTAGGCGACAAGGGGCCGAAGACACTGGCATGTCTTGGGGAGGGGGGTTAGGAGCCCCAGTTCAGGGTCTGCCCACTATCCCTAGACCCTCAGGGCCAGCACGAGACAGGAAGCAGGCCTCTAACAGCTGCTGCAGGGGCCTCAGGAGCCAGAGGCAGAGGCTGCACTCCTGAGCCAGGTGTGGGCCTCTCTCAGGCTTGAAAAACAAACACTTGTTGTTAGTTTATTTTCCTGTTACAAATGCAATGCATTTACAGACACAAATTCAGAGGCAAAAATTATTAACAATAAAAATCATTAGGATTCCACAACCAAATTCAGCATCATTAATAGTACAACATTTTGTATGTATACACACATTTTTGAAAATGCGGTCCTACTGTACTTACTCTTTAACCTGAGTTGTTCGCTAAGTGTTAGATGTTTTCGCCTGCATTTTTGTGCATGACTGTTAATGGCAACACTGTGCTTTGTTTTTGGTTTTTTTGAGATGAAGTCTCACTCTTGGCCCCCAGGCTGGAGTGCAATGGTACAATCTCGGCTCAATGCAACTTCCACCTCCTGGGTTCAAGCATTTATCCTGCCTCAGCCTCCCCAGTAGCTGGGATTACAGGCGCCTGTCACCACACTCAGCTAATTTTTGTATTTTTAGTAGAGACGGGGTTTCACCATGGATGCTGTGCTTCTTGATGCAGAGGCAGATGGGGACTAGGGTAACCAGCCCCTTCTGCTGGACATGCGGCAGCTGGAGGTACAGCCCACTCCTCAGGCTGAGCTCCCTCCCCGGGCAGTGACAGAGGCTCATCGGGGCACCCACGCACGGGTGTGCACACACAGCCGCTGCGCACCTTCTCTCTTCCCTGACCATCATGTTGCTCTCCACTCCCCCTCAGGTCTGGTCCATGGCTTCCCTCCTAGCCCAGTGCCAAGAACATGGGGGCGGAGACAGGCTGAACAGAAGTCTGTGTACAAACAGACAGATTTCCTCCCTCTACGCAGATCCTTTCCCTCCACCCCAAACTTTTCCCTGCTAACTGTCCCTGGAATGTGGGGCCCCATGTAAGATTTCAATTAACAAGTTTGAAAGACATTACCCTGGACCAGCTTGACATCCCACCTGCTCCATCATGGGCCAACCTAGGGATGCCCTCCAGGTATCACTTCTGGGGTGCAGTTGAGAGCAGGCTCCCTCTAGTGGCCACTCTGGGGAAGCGTCCCAGGATGCCACGCTCCCAGCAGTCCCCAGGCAGAACCCTGGCCTTGGCTGAATCCATCGCTTTCTGCAGGGTCCAGCTCAAGGATCCGAGGCCTTCAGCTCACTCCTAGAGCTCTCAACACATACATCCCCCACAGATCTCCCAGGAGCTGAGCTATTGCCCAAAGTCAAAGACAGCAAATGCAAATAAATGGAAATAGCCTCCAGCATGTTTCCCTGAGAGCTCTTTCCTGGTGGTGTCAGTAACTGAGCCCCATGGGCCCAGCCCATGAAGCAGCCAATGAGCTGGAAATCCGAAGAGCAAAGGTCTTCAGTGACTCAGACATCAAACCTCGCTGAGCACTGCCCTTAGCTGGAACCCCATTATGCCAAAATCTCCTGTGTCACAGTTCCAGGGGGATTATGAAGGGAAATCCATCTTCTTCCTGCACACTCAGGCATGGGGAGCTCATTACCTTGCCAGACAACCCATTTCAGCCCACTCCATCCAGTCACCCATATGGAGAGGTGGTGGAGTACACTGAAAAGAACACCCAATTCTGACCTGGTTCTGACTGGCTAGCTGTGCGACCCTAGACACATCCTTCACCTCTATTGAGGAAAAGAGAAAATCCGGAGCCTCAGGGGCCTGGAAGATGGAGATTCTGTGCCTGAGAGCCCCAGTGCACCCAGCCAGGGTACAGGCTGCTCTGGGAGTGCTGCCTCCAGACCAGCCCCTAGTGGAGGCCTTGCATGAGCCAAAAGACAGACAGAACATGGCCAGGCATAGTGGCTCACACCTGTAATCCCAGCACTTTGGGAGGCTGAGGTGGGCAGATCGCCTGAGGTCGGGAGTTCGAGATGAGTCTGACCAACATGGAGAAACCCTGTCTCTACTGAAAATACAAAATTAGCCAGGTGTGGTGGTGAGCACCTGTAATCCCAGCTACTCAGGGGGCTGAGGCAAGAGAATCGCTTGAACCCAGGAGGTGGAGGTAATCTCAGCACTTTGGGAGACTGAGGCCGGTGGATTTCTTGAGGTCAGGGGTTCAAGACCAGCCTGGCCAACATGGTGAAACCCCGTCTCTACTAAAAATACAAAAATTAGCTGGGCATGGTGACGTGCACCTGTAATTTCAGCTACTCAGGAGACTGAGGCAGGAGAATCACTTGAACCCCGGAGGCAGAGGTTGTAGTGAGCCGAGATCATGCCATTGTACTCCAGCCTGGGTGACAGAGCCAGACTCTATCTCAAAAAGAAAGAACGAACGAACAAGATTGGGTCAGAACTGGCCATGAACTTGCTGTGGAACCTTGAGGAAGTCCTCCCCTTGGCTCTGGCGTCCAATTTTCTCATCTGCCATAAAAAGTTCAGCTAAAACAACTCCTCTGCTCCATCCACTGTTGATCCTCTTTTCCAAGATGTTCTGGAGTGTGGTGATGCCAACGCAGCTGGCCCAGGGCTGCTTCATTCACTCACTTAGACAAGGCCTGAGTGTCAAGATTGTATTGGGTGCTGGAGACAAAATGGGGACAAAGAGAAGGATGTGCACTACCTTCGCAGCCTCTGATGTTATTTGCGTGAACTTGTTCTTTAATACTGGACTTACATTGCTACATAACATTTTTGTTATGATGTTTTTAAAGTAAATTTATTTTATCAAGGAAGTAACATATTTGGTATGCTGGTTTATTTGGAATATACATTAAAATAACTACATAACTTAAAAAAGGTCATACATGAGCTGCCCCTGAAAATCACCTTCCATGCCTGGGCATCTTACTTTTGGAGGTTTAACATCGGCACTGTAAGGCTCACAGAGTAGTCAAGTCAGTGAGCTGCGGGAATTCGTAGGAAAGGCAATCAACTGCATTAACCTGCTTTGTCATTCTGACGCTTTGACATCTGGGGCCTTGCTCGCTCTGGAGGGACTGCCCCTCCCAGGGCTAGCTATTAATAATTCCTAGAGTTAGTAAAGGACTCCTACAAGCATGCCTTTCATATACAAACCAATTAAGCTAGAGCCTATACCCCAACCACCTCCCTTATCAAGCTGTCAAATTCAGGACCGCTATCCACTTGCCCTAATCACCCAGGGTCAAGTACTACCAGATGAGAGACAATCCCTATACCCCAGAGCCCACTGAAATTATTCAAACTCACCAATTCTAAACCTGATTACACTGCTGCCCTCATTTCTTCCCATGGGATCCACAATAAAGGCTCTTGCCCATGTTTTCCCCTTACCCCTTATGTCTCCTAACCTTACTGCTTCCTTGTGTGCCCTTGTGCCCAGTGGCGGGGTATGCCCCCTCCTCTTGAGAATTGTAAAAAACTATTCCAAGGCAATTATCTCCTTATCTATTGGCCTCGCCATATCTCAAACATAACAAAATAATAATAAAACCTACATTTTTAAACACTGACCCAGGCCCAAGGGTTCAAGGAGGACTCCCTGGAGAAAGTGACATAACAGAATAGAAATTAGCTGAAAGACAAAATGATGGGGATAAGGGTGAATGTCCCAGGCAGAGAGAACAGCATGTGCTAGGCTGGAGTGGAGAAATAAGGAGCCACTGAAGGAATGGCCCATACAGTCTGACTGCAGTGTAGGGTGAGAACGGAGGAAGGAGGAAGGAAGAGGAGAAGTGGCTCAATAGCCCAGGGCTCATAGAGGCCAAGGAGTCTGAGTTTTATGTAGTCCTATCTCTTTTGATCTCCAAGTTGGTTTTTCAAATAAACCCAAAAGACAGCCCATGAACTCTCCAGATTCTGTCATTGAGAGTCCAGCCCTGAGAGCGCAGAAGCCCTGCCCGGCTGGTCACCACCAACCTGGGGAGGTACCACTGGCCCACTGACCACCCAAGGGAAACAAACAACGATGAGGAAGAACAAGGCCACTCCAACGCATCTAACAATGTACACCCTAGGTGAGCCCCACTGCGGCTTCTATCCATTGAACAAACAGAATGCTTTCTATAGTCCACAAATGCAGTGGAGGAGTCCAGTCCAGACTTGAAGGCAGCACCACCAACTAGACTAAAGAATGGACGTAAGGACCCACCACATGTGCTTGGGAGCATCCTCACCCCTGTACCTCATCTCCCCACCACCTTCTGCTTGGAATTCCTCGTAAAGAAAACACTTCTCCAGGGATTGTAAAGGATGTGGGCCTTTCTGTCATGAAGACCTGGGATTGAATCCTGGCTGCCTCATTTCCTGATCGACCTGAGCACGTCTTCTAACTTCTCTGAGCCTGTTTCCTTCTTGTAAAATAAAAACAGTTTTCATTCACTAGATCATTTCAAGACTAAAAAGAGATAGCACTAACCTGAGTGAGCCATTGTGGGTGCTCAAATGTTAATATCTTTCCTCCTTCCAACAATCCTTGTGCATACACACACTTTGACCCTGCCCATACACATCTCCACCCTGCTTTGTTCAATTTTTTCTAGGGAGAATATTGTGGAAAACAAAGAGGCTTTGTTCAGGATCTGGGCAAGATGGCAGAATAGGAAGCTCCTGATCTTGTTCCCCGACAAGGAAACTAACTTGACGATATACAGCTCAAAAAGCCTTTTGAGATCCCAGAAATGAGTTAAGAAGTTGTTGTACCC